TCTTAAGTTTTCAGTGCACTTTCCCCAAATTTTTAGTCCTGATTGGACTCTTTTCATTCTCAGAGAGCGTACCTCAAACGAATCCTGCAGGCGCTGCAGGTTGGCGAGTCTCCTGTTGGCCGCCCTGGCTGCCTTCACGGCGGGGGCCATCCGGGCGAGCAGCGTGGACCGCGCGGCGGCAGTGGTCAGCACGGAGTGGCTCTCCAGGCAAGGGGCAGTGGCCACCGCGGCGCAATCGTCACACCACCACCTGTGCAGACATGAGCAACACTGTAAAAAAGGTCGTTTCTGTGGAAAAGGTTCTCGGCAACCAGAAAACTCCAGAGTTCGGGGTGAGGGCCGGGGAAGAACCGAACACCGCTGGGGTGGGCAGAAATCTGACACCCTGTTTTAAGACTCAGTTTCACAAAATGGCAAAAAGTGATGACTTAACTTGTGTCTTTATGAATCTAATGTAAAAAGAGTCAACTCAACTTAGGCCTTCATGAATCTAATGTAAAAAGAGTCAACTCAACTCTGAATTCATTTAAAAAACTAATGGAAAAAGGAGGTAACTCAAAAAATGTTCCACACCATATAGACTCTTCACAGACCTCAGCTCCACTTGAGTTGTCTCCATATTCCATATCGTCTGGGAGAGCTAAGTAAACATGGTTCCTTAGTTCATTCTAACGTAAAGATCTAAAACACAGAAACCGTCTACAGAGTGATGTTTCACTTTTGACACCTGAAGCAACATATCGAAGGGAAGGCCACTGAATGCACGGTAAAGTTTGAATTTGAACATATAATAAACTGATTTTTTTGAATTGCCACTTGATGACAATATCAAGGCTCATTTTCCATAACAAGGATGTCATCAAAACAATTGATGACATGCAATAAGAATGGGAGCTTTAACAAAAACGGCATCAGATTGTCATCGTTTGAGAGCGATGAAAATATAATCGACGATTTAGTTACAAAGGGACATGCGCGTCAAGATGTCTGTCGAATTATTTCAGTATTTTCACTCATTCAAAATATACATTGAAGCCATGGCTATTTTTCGATAACAGTACCGTAAGCCGGGGTTTTATGAGACAATTTCGGGGTAATATGAGACGGAGTTTGGTTTGCGTAAGATTCGCTCTGAGCTCGCTATTCGGCCACAAAGAGAGCCACTGCTCTAAAAAATTAATAATTCTTTGTTGGTACCATTTTTCGCCGTGAAGTTTAACAGGGATAAGTCGTCAAATGCCACGAGCATCATAATTCTAACGATAAAAAATCATGCGTCTCATATTACCCCGAAATTGTCTCACATTACCCCGGTCTACGGTACACGGTTTCGCAATGCGTGTGAATAAACCGCACACACGACGTCTTAGCGTAACAGGCTACGCCAGGCCAATCGAAGCCCGCAGTTTACACCGGCCCTCTGCTGACCTGCCGAGCCCTTCAGAAGAGTCGTTTCGTCGCTTTGCCTCTGTCGCACTCACGGGGCTGTCCGTAAGGGTGAGAGAGACACAGCGACAAACCCATCTCTGAATCGCTCGGCTGCAGCGCTACGAAGCAACACACACTTACCGTTCTCCGTCCTCGGAAGTGTTCGGCTCCGCTGCGCTCTGTCCTCCATCTCGCGAACTGGACGGCAAGTCCTTGGCGGGGTCGTGGACATCGCAGAAGTCACCCCCATCCTTACTGGACGATGAAGTAGAGTGGGGAGAACTGTCCATTGCTGCAGCGTAGGAAGAAGCGTCTGCTGTCGAAGAACAGAACTGCACTGTAAAAAATTCCGTACTTTTGTACTGAAATGGTTCAGAAAAATATAGTGCGGGGGTACGGAGAAAAGTACGGAACGTTCCGTACTTGCTCTATATGAACCCATGTAAATGGGTACGGAAAAAGAGTACGGAACGTTCCGTAGTTGGCAAGTACGGACGGTCCAGGCATATCATTAACCAGACATGTTCCGTACTTTTTCAGTACTTTTTTCTCACCGTGTGAAATGGTATGTTACGCTGAGCCTGTGCGAAAGGACTCCGGGGCATGTGTCTCCCTAGATGTGAGGCGGACGAACGAAGCACGGGCTGACAAAAGGAAGTCGGATAGCACCCACCGGCCGAGTGCATCGGTGTTCGGAAGTAGTTTGAAAACTTTTCAAACCACGCTTAGCTACCAGACGTCCAAACCCTTGATGTCACTTAACTGCGATCTGCTCGACTCATGCCTGTGGTAACTTCGGCTTTATGCCACCACTGAAATGCCCCTGAAGAACTTGAAACTTAAAAACTTCAAACTGCATGTGCATCCATGGATGCCAATGCAGTTAAGTTTTCAAGGTTGCGAACGCAAAGTCTTTAAGTTTCAAGTTCTTCAGGGGCCTTTCAGTGTGCATATGTCATCACCTTTTCTTTCTTCTTCTTCAGCGCCACTGCAGTCTGAAGATATGTTTAATTCTACACTTCACGTTTCAGGACGAGATAAAAGCCAACCGGTGCGCCAATCTGAAATATACTCGGAGTAACTTAAAACCGAACTTAAAAGAGAATGTTATATCCAGGTGCCTGAAAAATTCATTTTGAACCAAGCTCGCGGAACAGCTGCCGTTGCCTTCTTATTTGATTAGCGAAGCTGTTGAAGAATTTGTCACTGCTAGCGTGGGTAGTACTAGTAAAATGATCAGAAACCATGACAATCGTAATAAGGTGCAATGAACTAATGATTATGAAGAACAAACTTCTCTGATTGGCAACAGATTGGCTAAGCCGGTATCTTTTAAGAACGCAGTGAGGAAGTGACGAATGTTAAGACCGTTCCTTTACCTGCGCAATAAAATTTTAACAGAACAGTTCCAGAGATTGCTTAACGTAACATGTAACTAGCACGGCTCTTACAGTGTAACATGAGACAATGTTCACTGAAGGTTAAAGGTATGTTACATATCGTATGTACTGTTGCGAGTACACTGGTGAAACAAAGGCATAAAAATTATGCCCCTAAGGGCGTAAAGGGCATAAATCGTTAATGCCTTTGGGAAGAGCATTAAAATTTTGCTTGAAATTCCTATACCATTTACGCCCCTCCCAAGGGCATAAAACGATTTATGCATTGGGAAGGGCGTAAGAGAGTATTTATGCCCTAAAGGGCGTAATTTTTATGCCTTTGTTTTACCAGTGTACTTTCAAAATACAGGTAATTGAAGCCTGAAAAAAAACTTATCCTTTTTGGCCCGTCCCGTTTATTTTTTGTAAAAAAATGACGGAGGGACGGGCATATAGTATGATGCATGCTGTGCGTCCGTTCGTTCGTTCGTTCGTCCGTTCGTTCGTTCGTTCGTCCGAGGACTTCCCGTGGTCCGATCTTGACCAAATTTGGTATGCAGCCTCCTTGGGTGACCCTAAGAACCGCCCGGTGGCAGCAAATCCGATCCGAGCCCCGGGGGCGCTGCTGCAGGTGCATCATGGTCTACATGGGGTCGAGGAGGATCTCGGCAACGGATGCAGCTAGCAGGGCATGTAGGGGTATTTTTGGAATCGGTGCGACGAGAAAAAACCAATGGTGCCACTTTCGAACGAATCGGAGAAGTTCGGACCGGGGTTCAAATCCCAGTGGGGTATTTTCGGAACATTCTTTTTATTCGAGTTTTTGCATTGTTTCTGATGTTTTTGAGGGTGCTGATGACGAAAACGACATTTATTTTGACCCTAGACCCTGGTTTAAATTCGTCAGGGTTAAACAAAGGCGAAATTCACACATTTGTTATTGTACGGGACGGGCCAAAGTTGCCGATGTATATCGCTACTTTTCCTGTTATTTGTAAAAAAATGACGGAGGGACGGGCATATAGTATGATGCATGCTGTGCGTCCGTTCGTTCGTTCGTTCGTTCGTTCGTTCGTCCGAGGACTTCCCGTGGTCCGATCTTGACCAAATTTGGTATGCAGCCTCCTTGGGTGACCCTAAGAACCGCCCGGTGGCAGCAAATCCGATCCGAGCCCCGGGGGCGCTGCTGCAGGTGCATCATGGTCTACATGGGGTCCAGGAGGATCTCGGCAACGGATGCAGCTAGGAGGGCATGTAGGGGTATTTTTGGAATCGGGGCGACGAGAAAAAACCAATGGTGCCAGTTTCGAGCAAATCGGAGAAGTTCGGACCCGGGTTCAAATCCCAGCGGGGTATTTTTGGAACATTCTTTTTATTCGAGTTTTTGCATTGTTTCTGATGTTTTTGAGGGTGCTGATGACGAAAACGACATTTATTTTAACCCCAGACTCAGATTTAATTCCCGTCAGGGTCAAACATAGGAGAAATTCGTACGTTTCTTAATGTACGGGACGGGCCAAAGTTGCCGATGTATATCGCTACTTTTCCTGTTATTCAAAGAAGTCATAAGTTACGTGTTGTAAGTTCAACGTTTACGATAACGTTTTGACGCCCTTCCGAGGTAAGTTAAGGATCAGGTTGGGATATGAAGTTGTACGTATGTTGTTTGAAAGACTAATAAACGCCTTTCCAAGAGTGAAATTTGTTCGGGGCATGCAAGTGTCAGGTCTTTCAAATTACTAGTGGTCGGAATCAAAATTGTGACTTCAAATTTGTGCTCATCATTGGGCACCTTACCCTAAGGAATGGAAATCCTCTAGAAGACCCTGACTTCTCAATAATCGACCGTTCTTAATGAAATTGTTTTTCACATCATTTCACTTCATCTCTGTAGGTTTGGCCTTCAAACGGATCTCCATATTCCGAAATGGTTGCATTAATTTTATTTTAGGGGAACGCAAGTGGTGGTGGTTAGGTTTAGAAGTATTTTGTATGATTTTATATAGGTGTTCCATCAGCTTGTTTGTGCTTCTTTCTTTTTTCAGGAGAGGTAACTTCAACGCTTAGGATAACGTTATGATGCCTTTCTGAGGTACGTGAAAGGGTCCCAGTCCAGTGGACGTGGCTGATGTAAACATCAGAAATTGTAAGGCACGAGGACTAGGCTAAATAAAAAAAAGTAAGCTTGCAAAATAAAATCCTTGATTGTTTTATTGTTTTGAACATTTACAAAGTCACGTAAAATTTAAGCAAAACACACGCTGTTAAGAGCAGAATTTCAGCTCCTGAACTCTAATCTGCGTAAGCAGTTCAGAGGAACCTATTTCAATGTAACTAATCTTTGCCACAATAAAAAAAAACTTGAAAGAAAACGACACATGTCAGCGTCATGGCTATAAATCAAAATCGTCAGAAAGAAATAAAATATCAAAAATTTCTAAGACACTTCAATGCTCTCGAATGAAACACAAACATCGTCGGAAAGCAAGCGGTCCAGTGTAATAAACGAACAAGAGCCTGAAAACCGTCTGTTCAGCGACCAACAATATGTTGGATAGAAATTGGTTCAGATGGGCCTGAGCGGGCGGGCGGTCACTGCTCGGGCAGGGTGCCACATCCTTGGCAAGGTGCCACAGCCACCTGGTAGCAGTCAGCCGGGCATCCAGGTTCCCTGCTGTGCGAAGAGAACGCTGACCCCAGGCCGTGGCGCGTCGTCCACAGCTGGGAGTGGCAACCCCAGCGGCACCAAGGGCATGTGCAGACGTCCAGGGTGGGGACGACAGCGACGTCCGACAGGCGCAGGTGGAGTCGGGGATTCCTGATGAGGACATCCTGCGTGGCCGGATCATGGAGCCACGCGTGGGTGCAGGGCCCGAAGCAGTTTACGACTAGCTTGGTGAGGCAGGGCAGCGATGCGGGGGTCACCGCCTGCAGGAAGCCGTTGGTCGGCTCCGAGTCCACGGTGAGGTCTTGCAGGGCGACGAAGCAGGGCAGGGAAGGAGCCACCAAGTCCAAGACATGCGGTGTCCAACGGAGATTGAGCTTCCTCACGAGGTGAGCTGAGCGCGACCTGGCTAGGGCCTGGACAGGGGCTGCAGGGCTCTCCTTGGACAAGAAGAGAGTCACGTCTCCGAGTTGCGACGCTTCCAGAAAGGCCAATGCACCTGCGGGGTAGGCCTTCATGTGCATGGCCCTGAAGGTCACCTCGCGAAGCGTGGGGACCGCTAACTGCACAAGGGCTTCGTTCGGGGGACAGGACAAGGATCGCAGCCTCGGCATCACGTTCAACAAATGCACGGGAACGCTCCCCACCTTGCTGAGGATCACTTTCTCCAGGGTGGCAGCGTGGGTCACGAGTAACACTTCGAGAAATGAGTCCACTGTGGGTGCGGAGTACATGAGCTCCCTAAGGGTGGGATTGCGGCCCGTATCGCACCATGAAGATGAAAGGGTCACTGGCGGATCGCTATCAATCCAGATATGCAGAACTCGAAGATCGTTCACAGTGTAAACAGTGCCCAACAGTGGTAACAGAGTATCGGCGGCAATGCCATTCAGAACTAGTCGTAGCGTCTTCAGGCCTCCCAGGCCGGACAACTTCTGAACGATTGACGTTGCCAGGGGGACATCGTTCGGAGAATGCACTATCGCGAAGAGCTTCTCGACGACACACGAGGTTTCGGACACCATGGAGGCAAAGGTGTCGAGGTCCGCGCCAGTCCACTGTACTCGGAGGAGGCATGGCGCCAGCCGAAGAGCGGCCCGCACCACTCCCTTGTGGCACGCCGCCGGCAGGCTGAGGCGGCGCCACAGGGCCGGGTGCAGGCAGACGTCCCGGAGGCGGCGGCAGAGCACGCGGCACCCGAAGAGCTCCCTCGCGGACAGGTGTGCCAGCACGGCCAGCAGCACATCCTCAGGCAGAGCCAGCAGCAGCTGCGGGCACGATGACACTCTTTGTGAGCATACACGGTTCCACTGAGAATCCAAACGCCAGCGTCTTGGTGCAATGCATCTGCATTGCACATGAAGTGCTATGCCTTCCCACTTTCATGCATTAGCATTTCGGAAAGCATTGCACGTAAGATGCAATATGGCTAATGCATGGCACGTATGGTGCGATATCTCACGGCATTGTACCACACGTGCTGTATTTATAGCGTTTGGAATCTCAGTGTCGGTGTTGAACTGTGTAGCATTACACTGTAAGAAAAAAGTCATAACATTTTCATAACATGTTATGAAACTATTTTCATAACATTGTTGTGAAATTGTTACGAAAAAGTCATAACACATATGTTATGCAAACTTATAACGCTGTTATGAAAAAAACGTGAAATGAACATCACAAATGATTTCGTCACAAGTAGCCATTTGATGCCATTGGTTGGACGGAATCATTCCGAAACTGACTTTTGTCGATGCTCTACTACCGGGATTCGAACCTCATCTCTTGTGGTTTTGAGTCGGAGGGTGAACCACTGAGCTACACCAAGTGCGTTGGAGGGAGAAGGATGGCGCAGGTATATGACACCACGCCGCGGCGGGCGAGTGTGTTATTACAAGCGACTTGTTATGACAGGGTTATGAAAAAGTTATGAATCGGTCAATGTTGTGACTTTTCACATCAATGTTATAAAATTTCATAAAAAAAGTCGTTATAAAAAGTCATAACCGGTTTCACAGTGTACTACTCTTACAACTACCGAATGTATATACGTGGTTGACTCTTTCAAAGAGTCAACCTACTGGCATAAAGGTACGGAAAATTATCTCAACAGCTTCTGGTAATTCTCCTTAGCCCCCTTGTCAGTATTCTCTGTAGGACCCTACAGTGTTCCAGACAAGGAGAACACTGTGCTGAATACTGTAACATCCAGGGGAGAATTTCGATACGAGGGCTACGGAGAATCCTGCCAAATAAAAAAACGGAATTTTCCGTACCTTTTTGCCACACACTGAGAAAACCTTACAAACTATTTCAGGCCTTCCAAAGAAAAGCAGCTTGTTAGAACACAGTATTTAGAGCATACATAAGCTTGCAAAGAAAATACTTCGTAATTTACGAAACATTTCTTTGTGTAACAAAGTTAATTTAGTTTGAACCATGTATGCTCAAAATGCTTCGTAAGGTTTTAAGGGTGCAGTGCCTGAGGGTTGACGCTTGACAGGCATGCTAGGTATGTGCACTCTTCACGCTAAATTACTACGTAGTTTTTGGTTACGCATGGCTCTGTACGGAATTGAGCATACGGGCTAGAAAAAAAACACAGCAAACCTACAAGAATTCCGAACCAATTTCTTTGGGGGAAAAAGTTAATATTTTCTAAGCACAACAATTATTCGAACCAGCATGACGAGTGCAGTACAGTGTACTATGCGCACTTTTTCTTAAAGTGGAATTTTAAAATAGCAAGCTTCTTACAAATGCCTTTTGGCAAAGGAAAGAAACGTATTTCCCCGCCTCGTGTACACCGAGATTCCAAACGCTATGAGTATAGCACGTATGGTGCAATGCAGCTAAGATATCGCACCATTACGTGCGATGCCATAGCCATATTGCACCTTACGTACAATGCCTCCCGAAAGTGCCCTAATATGCTAATGCATGGGAATGGGGAGGCATTGCACTTCATGTGCAATGCTTTTGCATCGCACCAATTGACGTTATACTCATAGCGTTTGAATTCTCAGTGTAAGCGTCACGGACTTACACCGATTTCGCAGAGACCATGTGCACTTAAGATAGTTATGGGAATCGGCACTGATAGTAAGGATGGGCTCTGGCAATCAGGATTTTTCTATTGGGAGCGTTGATCTGTCATTCAACCTTTTGACACCGCGCTTGCTGATTAGTCCCGATCCGATCCACTGCACTTCCGGTTTCAAGCTTCTTTTTGTTCTCCAGTAGACGACGACACTAGACCATTCTAGTCGTGGCCGAGTGAAGAACAAGAATAATCACAACAGACAGCACTGGTAGAAAAAAGTACGGAGAAAGGAGCGTGTCACCTCAACACTGTAAAAAATTCCGTACTTTTGTACGGAAATGGTACAGAAAAATATAGTACGGAGGTACGGAGAAAAGTACGGAACGTTCCGTACTTGCTCCATATGAACCCATGTAAATGGGTACGGAAAAAAAGTTCCGCCAAGGCAAGCTCAGCAAAGCGGTCTTGCCGTGGCCCGGCAGGGGAGGCCGGGCAGAGAGGGGGCAAGGAGGGAGGGGGTGGCTGTGAGGAGTGGGGACTGGCGCGGCGGCGCGGCGGCGCGGCGTGGCGGCGCAGGACGACGACGGACGACGGAACCAACACGACCACGCAGTCCCCTCCAAGGGGAAATAACTTCAGAAAAAAATGTACACTTGAATTAAAATTCAAAAAAATTCAAAAAAATTCATTAAAGTTCAAAAAAATTCATTAAAATTTCACTGAAATATTGCAAAAACTTCACCAAATTTCTTTAAAATTCACCAAAATTCATTAAAGTTCACAAAAATTCATTGAAATTCACGAAAATTCTTAAAATTCACCAAAATTTGAAAATTCTTTAAAATTTAAAAAATTCAAAGTTTTTCTTAGAAATTCATTTAAATTCAGCAAAATTCGCAAAAATTCATTCAAAAAATTCAAAGTAATTCATAGAAATTCAATAAAATTCACCAAAATTCGTAAAAATTCACTGAAATTCAAAAAAATTCAAAAAATTCACTGAATTTCAAGAAATTCAATGAAATTCACGAAATTCATTCATTTGTACACCGAAATTCAGAGTTATTTCCCCTTGGTCCCCTCCAAGCGCGCTGAATGGATGGATGGGATGGGATGGGATGAGTGGGATCGGATGCAGAGCGAGAAGCGGTAGCAAGACCGCTTAAAAAGGTACGGAACGTTTCGTAGTTGGCAAGTACGGACGGTCCAGGCAAATTATTGACCAGACATGTTACGTACTTTTTTCTGACAGTGAATGTTATACCTGGACCGCCCGTACCTTGCCATCCACGGAAGTTCTGTACATGTTCACTGTACTAGTTTACATGAGATCCTGACGGAGACCACAGAGAACCAGTACGAAAGGTCCGTACCTTTTCAGCACCCCATTTTCCGTACCAAACCAGGGAATTTTTTTGCAGTGAAACTTATTAGCATTCGGATATTTAAGACCCTTTGCTTGGTAGAAGTTGGTGAGAATATTCTATACAACATATTTTCAGTGAATATATGCAACTCTAAATGGCCTAGTCTTTTGAGTTTCTTCTTGTTCTTCACTTGGTCACGACTGGAATGGCCTAATAGTCAACATATTATGAATACGTAGATACCTCGAGGTGTTCTTGAAAATGACTCACCGATTCGTCCATTGCGTTGGGAGTAGCTAACAGACAGTACCCCAGTCAAATAAGATGGAGACGTCCTCACGGAGGTGCACAGGGGCCGCGGGTCAAGCGGGTATCCGTGTTCGCAGGTGGACTTGCCGAAGAAGAACTGCGAGAGTAGCAAACGACGAATCAGAAGACACAGTCGACCGAGCCCAGTTCTCGGATCTTGAGACCGTTAAAATTGCCCCCTTCACCCCCCAAGACCGCCCGCACCAGCCCCCGCGCTAAGCCAATGCCTGCATAAGGCAGGCTAGCGCCGCAGGCCAAGGTAGGTACGCCAGGCGCGGATTGCAGGAACAGGCCGCGAGACATCGCGAAGCCTGTTACGACAAGACGCGGTCTGGCGTAAACCTACCTTGTATTGATTTGTAGCTGTATCAACTGACCAAACTGAGTGAAATTCGCCTGCATTGTAGATAAGATTCTTCTGGGGGAACGCCCAGATAAGATCTTTTGAATAGGTGCCGTCGATTTGTTGGAGTAAGCATTACTTACCTGTCGAATGTAAGTTTAAGATGCCAAGTTGTCTCTATTCCAACCAGGATGGGGCAGAATGTTTTTCTCAACGAATAGCAGTTGTCACAACTTGATCCACAAGCTCAATTTGGTCACTAAGTAAATACACATTAAGGTGACAATAGAAATTTGGTCCCCATCTCCAGTGTAAATAATCCAGGACCAGGCGATGGTGAGATTGGATTGGACGGCCTCAATACTGACAGAATCTCAGATTACGTGACGCACTGTCGCGTCCCCTTTGCTCAATCTGTTTCATTCACTGCCACGTACACTCCAAATGCCTAACGAAGAATTTCCCCTCAACACGAAGAAAATAGCGCAAGCACAATACTTGGGTAGTTTTTCTTCGTGTTACGAAGGTTTCTTTTTGTATCATAAGGTAAAATATCAATTGTAGGTCACTTGTTTTGTAAAATGCTTAGCTTTTTTAAAGTAAAAATTATAACAAGGCCAAAGTAGCTTTGAAATTAAAACAAAATTGTATAAAATTGTATTAAGTATGAAGTCTCCTGTATGAAATTCTTTATTCTGTGTCATCAATGGTGAAACTATCAATGCCAGGAATTAAGGGAGGGTGGGGCACCTAGTGACACTTTTTGGATTTTGGCACTCACTCCGATACTGTGCGAGAAATGAATCTGCTTACACCTCAGAAGGTTGCTTCTTCGATCCTTCCTTGATCGCAAAAACGCGTTGTGGCGTTTTGGCAACACCTATTTCTATTATTTACATAGCTTCCCGCAGACCTCTGCACTTGTCACTTGGTGCCCCAGCCCGGGGCACCTAGTGACAGGTCATATCACTCACATTACCAGCATAGAGCGACGCTCCAGCTAATTGAAAATTATCTGTTTTAGACTCTTTCAGCTTTTTAAATATCAAACCATTCTGAACGGCGCCATTTTTTCGCAAGAAACTGCATTTTACTACATTGCCAATCAAATTGAATGATCTACGAAATTGTCGTACAAATTAGTCTCATTTATGTTTCGTTGTGTGACAATCGGTGACAATTTACTTCGTGGTTTGCCACATCGATGTTTTGAAACGTTTAAATCGTTGAAATACGGTAAATAGAGTGTGTCTGTCACTACCTGCCCCGGGGGCTCATTTCCGTTCAAAATTTGATATTAAAGAAATGAAATCACATGTTTGAGCTGGTTCAGCCAAAACAACTTACTAAAGGTCCTTATTATTGATTAAAAGTGCCAGAACGATCGGCAGTGCCGTGTACTGGAAGAATGGCGAGAAAACATTTTGTAAAAAAGTCGTAAAATCTGTGATTTTGGGTAACTATTTTATTGCTTTTATTCTAGGGGCTAATATATTTTGTTCAAAGTCTCACTTTCACTTGAACATGATTCCACAGCACAAGACCTTTAGATAAGCCACCTCAAGGTGTCTGAAAGTGCCATAGGGTGGCCAGGGCACCCCTGTGTCACTAGGTGCCCCTGTCACTAGGTGCCCCACCCTCCCTTATCTTAGAGAAATTTGGCATTAACTCAAAAAGTAGGGACTCTTTTAATTTCTTGTCCGTTACTGAGAGATCGGTTGACGAAAACTTTGGTCTCCGGGATCAAACTGTGTTTCATCCGTCCAACCCACTAAAATTTGGGTTTCAGGCATCAAAAGTTTCCGTTTCGGCGTTTAAAATTTTGATGCCTCTAAGCCAAACTTAAGTAACTGTAAGGTTGGGCGGATGCACTCTAAATGTTGTACAGTGAAGATTCTCCATATTATGGTGAAATTGTTCCATATTATGGTGGTGCAGCTGACTTTTCGTAACATACCATTGAGAATTCACTGTACCTTGTAGAGATTTTGACGGATTTCTTTGGTATTATGGAGAAAATCACCACCATATTATGTTGGTGCAGCCTTTCACCGTAAGACATTTACTGTGTGAAACACAATTTGATCCCTGAGACCAAAGTTTTCGTTCCTAATGTGGAACAAGATCTCTCGGTGTAGGACTCGACAGTCCACTCCGGAAATAAATCTGTGTTCTCTGCACATGGAATCACTCCTATGCGAGATACCTCCGTTTGACGAATCTCATTCGGAAGCAGAGAATCTCCGTGACAAGAATCAGTCCGGCGCTGACGCACCCCTCTGCGAGAATTCGCAGCATGGGTCGCACATGCTTGAGCTTGAGTGGGCTGAAGGTGGACGACAAGACGGTGGGCGCCCTGTCGGAGGCACTGCCGGAGCCGGTCGCGTGCCGTGTGGCAAACCTGTCGTGCAGCCCCGCGGCTCGCCAGCGGCTGAGGAACCTCCGGAACGTGACAGCCAGTGGCGACCCCCGCATGGCGATGTAGTTCGTGGTGTACCACTGCTGCGGCAGCGGGAACATGCGGACTCGCTCGCCGTCAGTCAGGCTCGGCGGCAGGCCTTCGAACGAGCCCTGCAGCACGACGGCGGCCGCGTCCCGCGCGTCCGCGATGCGGCGCAGGGCGTCGTGCAAGCCCTGGGGCGCAGTGTACTGCACGCGGCGCGCCAGCCCCCACTGCTGCAGCGGGAAGATGGAGGCCAGCACCGGGTTGTCCAGGAGGATGGTGAGGTTGCTGGCGGCGAGCTGCCGCAGGTCGCTGATCTCCCCGACGGTGTCGCGTTCGTTGGCGTCGCTGAGGAGCTGCCCTTGGTACGAGGCGGACAGGCCGATGCCTACGGCCAGCCAGCACCCCAGCGCGGGCCGCCGCAGAGCGGACAGCCCGCCGGGCAGGGCGAGGGCGTCGGCCGAGGCGGACAGCGGGCCGCCGCGCCGCAACAGGTGCATGCCCAGCGTGACGGCCAGCACGGCGGCGTGCGTGGAGCACCACCCCGAGAAGGACCAGTCCGCCGACAGCGCGGCGCGGCGCTGCCGCAGGGGCGCCGGCACCACGGCGTAGCTGTGCATGGCGTCCCACGGGAAGGTGACGAAGTGCAGCGCGGGCCTCACCAGCAAGCTGGACGCCAGGATGTCCAGCCGGCACGCCATCGCGGACGTCCACTTGTCGTACAGCTCGCTCCGGCGCAGCCGCCGGACGTCCAGGGCCACGCCGTGGTACTTGGAGAAGTGCCGCAGCTCGCGTTCGATGCTCTCGGCCCAGAAGTCCATGCCGATGGAGAAGATGAATGGGCTGATGCGAGCCTCGAAGACGCCGCCGGCGGGCGGCAGCCAGTGGCGGCACGGCGGCGCCAGCGGACTGCCCTCGTGCCGCCACCCGCCCCCAGGCCCAGGGTCCCAGCGGTTGGCCTCAACCGTGCGCGGCGGCCCGTTGGCGCAGTTGCTCGGCTCGCGGTACAGCACGGTGGTGCCGTTGGGCGCCGTCAGGGCCAGCACCGCGTTGTGCAGGCACAGGTGGCGCACGGCGAGGGTGGCCGAGCGCACGGGGCCGGCCGAGAAGCCCGCCCACAGGACGGTGCGCGTCGTGTACGGCACGGACAGTTTGGGAATGGACTCCGCCAGCGCGGCGGGGGTGTCGGCGACCACCTGCAACACGCAGGGCGACGACCAAGGACTAGACTGTGAGATTCCAAATATGACTTTTTAGACCCTTCACTGGGGGCTGATATTCGAACAAGTAAGCTGCTATTTCACGATCAAGTTCTTTCATTATTAAAGTGCAGATTGCTCGTTACGATTTTGGGCACCAGGAGCCGAAGTTTAATGAATGGTATGTTATAAAGCCAGCTGCACCACCACAATATAGATCATTTTCACCATAATATAGAACATGTTGATGCGTTCTCATAGAAAAATCCTAACCGCCAGAGAGTAGATCCAAGAAAATCCTAGCTGTCAGAACAGATCCGAGACAATCCTAACTGTTAGCGTCAATTCAGAATTATCCTAACTGCACATGACGTGAAAAGCGGTCTTTTCTCAAAGTCCGAGACGCCGACATATTCATAAAATTACTCGCTGGAGCGGGCTTGTTAATACTTGGACATTGTATTTTAGATCGAGATTCACTGATTTGCAGTGAAGATGGTTCATGGACACTTTTTGGCACTTCTGCAGTTAGGATAGTTCTAAATCTGCACTGACAGGATTGTCTTGGATCTGCCCTGGCAGTTAGGATTGTCTTGGATGTGCTCTTACAGTAAGGATTATTCTATTAGGAAACGTCGATTTTACCATTATAAAGAACATTTTCACCAAAATATAGAACATTTTCATCATTATATGGAACATTTTCACCATAAAATGGAGAATCTTCACCATAAGAGTGCGGCAACTCACCATGACGAGAGCGTCCTCCACCGTCATGCGTGGCGCCATGTGGTGATCGAAGACGGTCAGGAGAGTGACCTCTGCGAGTGTGGCGGGCAGGCGGCTCAGAAACGCGTCCAGCCACGCGACGGACCCGACAACGAACAGACGGGGGCGCTCGCTGTGGCCGAGCAGCCCCGGCACCACGGACAGCGCGCACATGGCTTCCGGAGGCAGGTCCAGACTGGGCGGCAGCAGCACAGCCTCCGCACCGCATGCCAGTGTCAGCACTCCGAACCGAACAAGACTGTTCGACATTCAAAATGGTGTCGTTCGTGCTTTCGGACCCTTTATACTTACTGTTACTACTCAACCACTGTGACGTCATATTGGGTAACGTCGTTTGTAAGTGGATTTTGTCACGTTCGTTTAAATAGGATTTCACATTAAATGGTGTTTGGACACAAATTTTGTTGGAACGTGGGTCAACATTGAAACGAGTGCGACATTGCCCTCAAACTAACGTGACACAATTCACATTCATTGAATGTGACCAAATTATTTCACGTTCCTTTGAGCATGGTGTCATGTTTGTTTGGACGTGAGTCAGCCGTGAAATCAGCTTATTCAAGTCGAAACGAATACGTCACGTTCCTGGAATGTGTGTGGGGGCCTGCCGTACTGCTACTAACCTAGCCCAGTCAAAATTGAACTAAAACTTTTTGAACTCCGTATCATTTACGACATTCGTTTCTTTAGTTTTACTTTTCTCTCGTTCAGTTTATTGTTTCTCCTGAAAAATGGACAAAATAGAGTTATCCACTTCTTCCGCTTCCTGGATCAAAATTGGGCGAAGAAATTTCTGTCATCAGGCGGTGATCAAATTATCCTCACCCAAATTTGGACAATGTAGAACCTTAGCACATTCGTTTGAACGTGAAAACTACGATGTCAGATTAAACGTGACAAACAGGGAAAATTCATACTCAAACGAATGTGACACGCCGCACCGCTTTGTCACATTACTTCGGGTGTGACACGAAATCAGCAGACAAACTGTCACATTAAAACGAATGTGACACATGGTACCCATTGACATACATCATACGAATGTAACACCCATATGCTGTCACGTTCGTTTGAATGTGACATGCCCTAATTGTCACATTCAAACGAACGTGACACGCCCCGGACACGCCATAAGTGTCAGGTTATGGCGTGTCACGTTCAATTGAATGTGACAATTCGGGCATGTCACATTCAAACGAAGACAGCATATGGGTGTCACATTCGTTTGGATGTGACACGATGTATGTCAATGGGTACCATGTGTCACATTCGTTTTAATGTGACAGTTTGCCTGCTGATTTCGTGTCACACCCGAAGTAATGTGACAGAGCGGTGCGGTGTGTCACATTCGTTTGAGTATGAATTTTCTCTGTTTGTCACGTTCAAACTGACACCGCCGTTTTCACGTTCAAACGAATGTGATGTCACATTCGTTGGCTACCAGTGAGCACACCAAATTCTTTGACTCAATCACTAGCAAATTGAAAATGGATAAGAATTCCTCTGTTGTCGACATGACTTCGTCGCACAAAATGGCAAAGGGAGATAAGTCAACTTGTATTTTTATGGATGTACTGTATGAAGCCAACTAAACTTCACTACCCCTTTTTCTTGGAACACTATTTAGAAAAAGAGGTAAATCCAAAAATGTACCAGAGAAATAAAGACTCGACTCGAGAATAAAGACCTCAGCTCCACTTCGTTTTTCTCTAAATTCCACCTTGGTTGGGAGAATTTAGTGAACATGGTTCGATAACTTTAAGATTTAAGTCACACAATTACAGAGTAATCTCGCACTTTTTGAAAAATTTCACAGTTATTACTCGTGATTTCTCGACAAATATCAATTTGCATCCCTCATTTATTTACAGTTAGTTTTCCCTAAAAACAGCTTTTCATTTCTCCCAAAAAATGGAGAAAGTTGAGTAATCTCCCTCTTCCGCTTCATGGATTAATTTTAGTCCTCGTTTCGAATCCCAGTAAAAGTAATTTTTGCAAAAGTGCGCTCACAATAAAAACGCATATTTCGCAAATTGAATGTAACAAGTTTGCCGCAAGGCTGTGAAATGCACGAATAAACTATCAAAAAAAGTGCAGCGTCGACAGGTGCCAGTAGCAATACCTACAGCATTGACGAATGTTGCTGGTGCTGCCAACGGAGGTACCGGCTCAATCCACTTCCTGTGGCCGTGCTGGTGGCGCCACTGGCAACTGTTTGCCCGCGACTGCTGAGTCGTGGCGCTCGACCATCGACTGAGGAAGACCATCCAAGATGCGCCGGAGACCGCATTACACTCGTATAAATTTTGTCAGAATGTCAGAAATATGTCTGAAAACCTGATCAAAATTCACACACCTCTGAGAGGTGAAATTCTGAAAACTTACTCCGATATTGACGGTTTAGGTTCTACAGACTGTCGGGAGATGTTTCCACCTTGCAGAGGTGCGCAAATTTTGATCAGGTTTTCAGACAGGTTCCCAACATTCTGACAAGATTTACACGAGTGTAGTGAGCACAAATACACAACAGACCTGCGTGGATTGTCGAAACTGGTGCAGCACACACTTAACTCTTGTGGACTATTTTTATGCATAATAATGCATGCATAGGAACGGATTTGCATCACTGTAAGTATTTTATGCATCTTCCTGCATACAATCTTATTCTAGGAGCGTAACATCACGTTGAAACGATTGTGACACACTGCTCAAAGAAACGTGCGCCACATTATTCGTTCCAACGTGATGTCACGTTCCTGAAATGAGTGTAATAGTTGTACAGTGATGCGCAATATCATACTCAGCTTACGTACCAGTGTCTACGAGAGTTAGTGTGCATAGCGAAGTCGATAGCTAGACGCGGTCTGGCATACCCCTACCTGTCAGCCCCCTCCCCTTCTTGCAGTTTCGAAATCGGGCTCCTCTTTCCCCACGAGTGTCATTCTAAGTCGTATGAGTTTGCTCGATCAGAAGCAACCAAGGTATAATATGTAATGAAGTGAAGGTGACCTTCCTGGTTCCTGCTAAGTTGGAACCTGATCGCGAGTTCCAAACCTCATTTTTTTACTGGTTATCATATACCTCGATTTTGAACATAACGGCAAACTAAGTGTGGGACCAAACGACGATATTGTGTTTCACCGAGGAGGGAACCACTCCAAATTTTTTTGTACCCAGGATTCTTCAAAGGTAGGGATTTCGTCGAGATTCTGCTAGATTTCACGTCAAAATTATGGCAGATTTCGTGAGATTTTTGTGGGGTTTCGTGAGACTTCACCAGATTTTGATGGGATTTCGTGAGATTTCACCAGAATTCGAAGGGATTTCACGAGATTTCTACTGATTTTGCGCAAGATTTCGGCCAATCAAGTGTACACAGGACTTTGCGAGTGGTTGTCCCCTCGTGTTTCGCTATGTTACGCGTTGAAAGTGCATTGACACTCGTGTCTTACGCTTCAGAGCGTATGACGCGCCACCGGCCTCGGGCCCGAGCTCGGGCCGCGCCGGGTACACTCGCGTCGAAGTCAAACTTACTCCCATTATTGCGTCTGTGCACTACTGTACCTGTCATAGCGGTGGCCCAGGCCGCTCAAGGGGTTGCTGGCGGGGGAAGGCGAGCGCGTGGCACCGCTTTCCCGGTGCGGTGGCGAAAGGCCGATAGATGCCTCCACACAGGGGCGGATGCCCGACACTTCCGACGGAAAACAAACAAAAGGACAGACTAGTTCGCTGCAGGAGACGAACTTTCCTTGTTTTCCTGTCGTCAGGCTGAGGGCCGGGCACACCAGAACTACCACCACCAACTTATAATCGGCTGCCATGATCTAAAGGACCGTCCTCAACTATTTCCGAAGTAATACCGAAGGACTAGTGAAAAGTGTGCAGCTTGAACTCTAAATTAGCTGATCTGGACCAAAATTTTACCACGTGCACCCGTTCGGTAGAGGAAGATGTCCCACAAATTTTGAAGGTCCTAGGTCGACCCAGTCCGGAGCAGTGGGCCATAGTGTGTTCTGCGACTTTTTAGTAAAAGTCAACTTAACGTACAAATCGATGGGAAGGGCTTGACCTAGGGACTTGAAAATTTTACCAGGTCTTAAGGGGCATGCGGACAACATTTTAGAATTTTTTCAAGAATTCTGAAAAACTTTTACTTTTCGAAAAAAACTTGAACTTAATTTTTTTTCTAGATCTTAGAAACATATTTTTGAAAAAAAAAATTGAAAAAAAATGAGAAAGTACCTTTCCTGGGTCCTAGTAACTCTATAAAATTTCAGCCTGGGCACAGACTTGGTTTGGGTGCTATGGAAGAAAGAGTAAATTTCATTCCGTTTTCTCTGGAAGACTTTAGCGGTGAAATCACTCATTTGTAGCCTGGTTCTATCAGAATGAGATAAACAATGATTCCAAGATAGAAATAGTGGTCTGGTGAGTATCTTATACTTCCTTACTTGTGTTTTGAGTGTTTTATGCCTGTCAGGATCCTGTTTCGAAGAGCCCAGTCAATGTTAGTTCACTTCACAAGTGGAATCGTAATCACACCGTGTTTCTAATTGGCCCCTGGTACACACTTATCCCTTATTGCAAGAACCGTACCACAAACTTTTCACTTGAATTGTAATTTAATTTTTCACTGGTATGTTTATGGAGCAGGACGGGCAGCACCCACTGTGAAACTAGACGTGGACAACTCCACATTTGAACTGTGGAGGCTGCAAACTGCACTTCCAAGTCTGGAGACCATGGACGCCGACGGAGATGATTGGCGGTGTCCCCGAACGTGGTGCTGCTGCAGGAGGTGCGCGCCCCCGTCCTCGGCGTCCCCGGCTACGAGGCGCCGATGCCCGTGGCACCACTGCCATTCATTTTGCGATACTTTTACTACAAATTTTTGCGATAAAACCGAGTTTGCGATTCCCACGATTTATCGCATCCTGGAGTGCGATAATTTTGTTATTGCACTTTTTTTGCAATAACCACCCCATAATTCTTGCGGTAATAGAGCGTTTTGTAGTAACTTTTATCACATTTTTTTCTGCCATAACTTTTTATTGCATTATCTTTGTAGTCATTATCGCAAAAATGTGATACTTTATTGCAAAATTTAGCTATAAATTTTTTATTGCAGATATTTAGTTGTCATCAAAGCAAAAAAATGTGATAAGATTTTTATTGCAAAATATATACAGTGGTTATCGCAGTTTGAATAACAGTGACCGCCATGCTCGTCCGCCCCAAGGCCGAGACCGTCAAGGCAGCGGCCGCGGCCTCAGCGCCCTCGTCGCCGGCAAGACCATCGCCAAGGTCTACGGCTCGGCGGGCTCCCAGGGCAGAGGTGAGAGGCCAGACTTCTTGATAAACCAGCTCGTGATTCTTCTGGCAGACGCTGTGGGGCCGGTTTGGGATCAAAAGGTGCATCCCAGATAAATATCTGGAAAGCGGCAAAAATGTCTGGAAATTTCCAGACATCGTTTTCGCCGTGTGTTTCATGGTGATCGAGACGAATTGGAGAACACTTCAGTCTCGTGAGATTTTGATTCGAGTTTAACTTCCCGCATCTGCAAGATGAGGACGAAAAAGTTGGCCACCGATCCCAATCCCTTGAGCATGAAATCAAAAAATTCGAAATTAAATCAAGAGTGAAAACTCCTTCGTGAGTCACAAAAAAGTGTAGCACGTTTCTCCTATTTCTTTTACAGTTCCCAGACTTACCGACAATGCCAAACTGAGGTCCAACGTTACAACGCGACAGAGGCGGACGGCAGCAGCGCGCTGGGAGAGTTGTGTGGTGAAAATTTCCACCTGAAAAATATGAATAAGCTAAAGACGCGATTGTGTGGGTCAGACGTGGATACAGAGAGGAAAGAAAGGGGGGTAAAGAAAGAAGGACGTGTCCTGAAACCTAGGGTAAAGGGGTAAAGTGCCGAACATGGATCGGGGTACAATCATGGATCATTTTTGTTAGCGAGCCCTTACTGTCAAACCAATCGACCAATTTATTTTTTTTCAAAGTTTATCATGAAGTCATGACGTTTAACTTGCAGAATCACGCGCGGGGGCCTGATCAATCTAACCGTTACCCTTACAGTATGCAAGTAAAAATGTGCCTCTGAAAAGGGGTCCGAAAACAGCCTGCCTTCAGGTTAGGTTAGGATCCAACTTCAAACCGTTGAGAATCCAAAAGAATCCATTTATCAGAAATGTCTCAAAAATTTTTCGTGGCACCTTCAGTGTGTACCCTTTTAAAATTTAGGCGACCGGAAGTTATCGGAACACCCCTATAAAAACGCGAGAGGGGGGGGGCCTCAAACATGGATCACGTCAGTGAATTTTCAAAGCCCTGTAAATTTCAAAGTACCGTACACTGTTAGAAATTTTGTCGTAATTTAACGACAAATTTGTCGCTAATTTTTTTTCTAACACGAGTTGTTTATAAACGACATGATTTGTTTAAAAACAACTAGTCGTAACCAAAAAGTTGTTTGTGAACAACAAATTTGTTTGGGACCATTAAATGATTAACAACTTTATCATGAATAAAAAAGCTCGTTTAAAAACCAGATCCCTGTTTTAAAATGACAAACTCGTTCACTGACGACAGAACTGAGCAGATCAAAAATTACATGAAAAAAAATTTTAGTTCACTCAAAAAAACAAAAAATTATTCCTTTAAAAAAGAATCTGAAATCTGCTTAAACATGTTCCCGGTACTCCACTGTCCATGCCCAGTTGCTTTGACCCGAGTTAAATTGTTTGCCTACCGCTGACTGCGCACTGCTTGAAGCCAACTGACCTGCTATGTCGCTGATGAAGAGCTTGCTGCTGCACTATGGAAGAGTGCATCCTGCCTTAGCTGAGCACGTTCTGTTTTGCTTTCTGCATGATGTCTCCACTAGAGACCTAGAGACTGACGGAGAAGCGCGGGCGCCGATAAGCGCACCAACAGTTTCTCATACTCCTCGCGCGCGGCCGGAGAGCTCTCTCATATTCCGGACAAAATGGCAGCGCACGCACTTAACGGCTGGAGAAGGTTTTTCGGTCACAGCTTCCAAACCGTTCTAGATAGAGGGGTATAGTAAGCGAGCCGATTGTAGGTCTCTGTACAAGCTACAATCGGCTCGCTTACTGTACCACTCTAACTGGAACGGTTTTCGAGCTGTGCCCGAAAAACTGTTCCGGCTGACTGCTGCGCTCCGCCTCGCCCCACCTTACCGCACCGCTCTCCGCTCCGCTCCCTGTCCCCTCCCCGCTCCCTTCTGGGCCGGCCCAGACAAAATGGCCGCCAGCGCGCGACGGCGCCCGCGCTTCTCCGTCAGTCTCTAGGTCTCTAGTCTCCACAAGATGCCTTCACTCCGCACTGCTTTGATTGTAAGAGCTCTGCTTAATAAAAATAGAACTTAAAAGCACTCAGGAGTAACTCCACCCCAAGGTGGACCGAGATCTGGGATTGGGTCACGGATTCGGTTCAAACTTTGTGGGTTCAATAGGTACCACTAGGACCTATCAACCCTAAAAGGAAAGTTGGCTAGCTCAAATAGAACCTGAGATATTTGCATTTTTCTAAATTTGACTAATTTAGCGGAAAAATGTCGCTTTCTGATTTTTTATTGGTAAAAGTTGTTCGCTTAGTTCTGGCTTATGTTTCTTCTTTCTAGTCATAAAAATAGAAGAAAAATGGTGGTAGGCCAAGATTTGTACGTTGCTTGGTTTGTCCTATTCGAGCAATTTTGTCGAATTCATCGAAACTCTCATACCCAAAATACTCCACCTTGGATTTGACCCTGGTACGTCTCATTTCACTTCTTTTACTCTAATAAACAATTGCTATATAGTCCCTAGCACCAACAATTCCATATAAGCCAGAAAAATCAAACACACATTTTTCAATTTTCTTCTTTTACCTATTTTTGGCGCTTTTGTCAAGATTGGGGCTTCTACATGAGCTAGGGTGATAAGAAAGATCCTGCCTGCCCTCAATTAAGATAGTATCGACACAAACAAAGAGACCCAAACACAAGGTGCACTAAAAATTTATAATGAAATTGTTTCGAGCAAATTTTTAAAGTTTACGAGGGGTGTGAGGAATTTAAATCGGAGGAAAATGTAATGCTTCAGCCAAAAGTGGATTCGTGGTGCATTTGTTAGCTTTCTCGAGTAGGTATGGTTCCCTTTTAACCATGAGAATGTTCCTCCTTGATAACCAGCGTTAAAACCCTGATATGGTATGGGGTTGTTGGACTTACGATTTCAACGTATTAACAAAGTAATGATCTATTTATTTAGGTTGTTTGCAACGTGTAAGCTGAGCCCCCTTAGTCTTAAGTCATCCGGTTGGTCTCAAATTTACAAACCAAATGGAACCAGGCTCAGTTATTGAGACTAAGCGGTTGAAGTTATATGTTGCAAACCTAAATAAATGGATCATTACTTTGCTTATGCGTTGAAATTGCAAGTCCAACAACCCCATTCCAAATCAGGGTTTTAACACTGATTATCAAGTAGGAACACTCACATGGTTAAAAGGGCGCCACACCTACTGAAGAAAGCTAACAAATGCACTACAAATCCACTTTTGGCTGAAGCATTACATTTTCCTCCGATTTAAACTCCTAACACCCCTCGTAAACTTTTAAAATTTGCTCGAAACAATTTCATTATAAATTTTTAGTGCACCTTGTGTTTGGGTCTCTTTGTTTGTGTCGATACTGTCTTAATTGAGGGCAGGAACGATCTTTTTTATCACCCAAGCTCATGTAGAAGCCCCAATCTTGACAAAAGCGCCAAAAATAGGTAAAAGAAGAAAATTGAAAAATGTGTGTTTGATTTTTCTGGCTTATATGGAATTGTTGGTGCTAGGGACTATATAGCAATTGTTTATTAGAGTAAAAGAAGTGAAATGAGACGTACCAGGGTCAAATCCAAGGTGGAGTATTTTGGGTATGAGAGTTTCGATGAATTCGACAAAATTGCTCGAATAGGACAAACCAAGCAACGTACAAATCTTGGCCTGCCACCATTTTTCTTCTTTTTTTATGACTAGAAAGAAGAAACATAAGCCAGAACTAAGCGAACAACTTTTACCAATAAAAAATCAGAAAGCGACATTTTTCCGCTAAATTAGTCAAATTTAGAAAAATGCAAATATCTCAAGATCTAATTGAGCTAGCCAACTTTCCTTTTAGGGTTGATAGGTCCTAGTGGTACCTATTGAACCCACAAAGTTTGAACCGAATCCGTGACCCAATCCCAGATCTCGGTCCACCTTGGGGTGGAGTTACTCTCAGTGGCTTGGTCAAGTGTGAGAACTAAATCTTTAACCTATTCTTGCACGTTTGTCTCTTGTCACGTTCAGGAGACAACGAAATACACTCCACTTCGAAGTTTGTGTTGATGGCTAGGCCACTGGGAAACTTCACAACATTCCATCAAGTTCTTTGTGGCAACACCAAAACAAACGTCCCGCGGGCGTGGAAACGCATGATAGGGCCAAAGGTAATCCATGGGGAGTGAAACAGTCCAATATCCCATCACAATTTAGCAAAACTTGGGGTGAAAACATTAAATTTGAGACGACAACGGTCACCAAAACAAACACACGCACACCGACCACCGTATATGAAAAATTCGACATGAGAGTAAATATGAGAAATTAGGGTGCTCCCCTCTTCTACTTTCACTTTCATTTGTCAACTTGTTGTTTCTCATATTTACTCTCATGTCGAATTTTTCATATACGGTGGTCGGTGTGCGTGTGTTTGTTTTGGTGACCGTTGTCGTCTCAAATTTAATGTTTTCACCCCAAGTTTTGCTAAATTGTGAGGGGATATAGGACTGTTTCACTCCCCATGGATTACCTTTGGCCCTATCATGCGTTTCCACGCCCGCGGGACGTTTGTTTTGGTGTTGCCACAAAGAACTTGATGGAATGTTGTGAAGTTTCCCAGTGGCCTAGCCATCAACACAAACTTCGAAGCGAGGGGTCGGCAACTTCCCTTGGCCGTGTACGAGGGAGTATACGTATATTACCGTAATATAGGTAATATATGTGTAATAAAGTAATACCAAGTAATATAGTAATATAGGGGTATTATAGAGGCGAAATTGTGGTAATATGCAAGTAATATATGGTAATATACGGGTAATATAGCCACCGCGTACGAAGTAATATATGAGTTGCCGACCCCTCGCTTCGAAGTGGAGTGTATTTCGTTGTTTTCTGAACGTGACAAGAGACAAACGTGCAAGAATAGGTTAAAGATTTAGTTCTCACACTTGACCAAGCCACTGAGTGCTTTTAAGTTCTATTTTTATTAAGGAGAGCTCTTACAATCAAAGCAGTGCAGAGTGAAGGCATCTTGTGGAGACATCATGCAGAAAGCAAAACAGAACATGCTCAGCTAAGGCAGGATGCACTCTTCCATAGTGCAGCAGCAAGCTCTTCATCAGCGACATAGCAGGTCAGGTGGCTTCAAGCAGTGCGCAGTCAGCGGTAGGCAAACAATTTAACTCGGGTCAAAGCAACTGGGCATGGACAGTGGAGTACCGGGAACATGTTTAAGCAGATTTCAGATTCTTTTTTAAAGGAATAATTTTTTGTTTTTTGAGTGAACTAAAATGTGTTTTCATGTAATTTTTGATCTGCTCAGTTCTGTCGTTAGTGAATGAGTTTGTCATTTTAAAACAGGGATCTCGTTTTTGAACGACTAAATAGCTGTTATTTTCTGAAACGGTAGAAATTGTTTTGGAACGATGTTTTAGTCGTTTTAATTTTGAATGAATTTGTTGTTTGGGTACGACTAAGTTGTTGCAACTTTTGTCGTAATTCAACAATCTTTTCTAACAGTGTAGTTGTGGGTAATAGGGACTACTTTTCGAGGTTATTTTGGAATTACTGAAAACTGAAAGGTGCTGCGATCTTGCCAATTTAAATATATTATCTACCATCCTTCCCGTGTGTTTTGGCCCAAACGGCATGTTATTAGCCTGCTTCTTTGCAGAGTAACAGCTGTACAAAGAGTGGTCCGTATTACACCCTAGTGTGGAGTAATATGGACCACCCCTAGAATTTTTCAGCTATGGAGGGTGATTGGGGTTTCCCATTGCCTTCAGAGACTAAGAAAAGCTTTTCGGAGTGTGTTGGTCTTGGGTGCCTTACTTGAATCTCGCGATAAGGGCTCCTGCGCCATCAAAATAGGGATTTTTGATAAAAGTGAAACATTGTGGAATTTGACATTAAAACCACTCCTGCGCCGTATGAATTAAAAACCGTGAAACGCAATCAATCTATACTAGTTTGTTTAAATTTCGATTTCGAAGACAAAACACCTAAAACTTTTCTCAGTATCTGCCATTTAACATGGTCCAAATTACCCTGTAAAGTTACAATTTTTCACTTTTTACCTCATAAGTCATCAATATCTCGATTGAGAGAGGCAAGTTTCGACAGGACGTAGTCTCGAAACGTGAGGATACAAGAATAAATACCAGAAACGGCAGCATTATTTGTAGTTGATGCTCCACAACTGAAGTTTATCATTGAAAGTCCAAAAACGCCAAAATATGAGTTCGAATTTGCTGTAAATCGAGCTGATATCCCAATTTGAGTCTTGGAGCACCGTTTCATTGGCATTATTTGAGCCACGGCACATGCAAGTTCGGTTGTTATTGCCAGAAATTGTTTTCGAGGCCTCCGCGGCAGCACCGATTGCAGAGAAGAATGTCGGGGCTGGTCCACATTACCCACTGTGGTCCAAATTACCCGCGTTCACAGTATTTGTTATTAAATGTTCAGTTCTTGGGAGGAGATTGTCTTTGTGGTAATCTTGAAATGTATCGAAGAAAATTTAGGTCATCGGTTGTTTTAGCCGAAATATAGGACATTTCTATAAAGTGATTCATGTTACCCTCACCCTTACCCTTACCCTCAGTCATCAACTTTTCGCAGATTTCTACTAATATACGCTGAGGTACACTTTGAGTATGCAACTAACTGCACTCTCATTCCATGAACGAGACATCACGTTGCATTGTTCCACGTTCGTTCCTACGTGAATAAGCTAATAAAAGCTGATTCAGTGATTCGCGTCCACACGAACATGACATGACACAATGCTGAAAGGAACGTGACATTTTGCCGCATTCATTTCAACGCGACGTCACGTTCCTGGGATGAGAGTGTGCATAACGAACACACGACTATCCATCTGACTGCAAAACTCAAGGGGATGGCCCTTGACAAGGCGACATCCCTCTTCCACTCCGTCTACTCTCTGGGTCCACCACTGACGTGGGTCGAAGGATTGGGGCGCCTGATGGATGCTTGCCTGTTCTGTTTCCTTTGAAGTTAAACGACACACACTTGCCAGTGAGTGAGCGACGGTCATGGCTCTGTTTCCCTGCCAACAAAGAGACGCGTCACAGTGGAATCTGGAAATTACCAATTTATTTCACAATCCTATGAACCAAGCTCCTCGCAGCTGAGAAAGTCAAATTGTTCGCAGTAAAGTGACAAAGTGCAGATCCTGAAATATGTACACTAAACTGCGCATGGCACCAGCAGCAAAGCACGCTGTGCTCATTGATGGTTGTATTCACACCTTGTTCTCACGACGTGCACTGAGTCATCCAACTCCTACACTCTCAGACCTATATGGAACCTTTTCTCGGTTGCTCATGACGTTTAATAAGCAAACATAAAATGGACTATTTTCTTCGTAACTATGCACAATTTTGACCGTTTTAAAGATAAAATTGTCAATAGATCATGTAGAAATTGAAAAGTACATTGCAAATGACAAAAAGTCAGGTTTAATGTAGTAAATACATTATACAAAGAACAAAATAGTGCACAGCTAAAAAGAAAATAGTACATATTACATTTCAACAAAAAAAAATACGATTTCAAGAAATCCTAGGAGTCACGAAGTCAATTTGATTATTGTGTAAGAGTGTGGAGAAAGAAAAGAAGTGGTGTTGTGAAGTTGTGAAGTTGTGGCTCAGGGGACTACCAATAGCAGTGGTACCAATGTGGTCGATGTGCCATACCCGTCGAAATTTAAACTTGACAATAAATAGAAATCAAAATGCTGGTAAATTCAAAAAATTCCAATGCTAATGTATTCCGCAGTGTTCTAACAATGGAACATCTTTAAAGTCCATCATTATTAAAATGTTCTTGGCAGAAAGAAGGCAGTAAATTAATTTTCACGGGTTGGCAACTAGTTTCTCGGCGTCTGCGCCCTTGCGAAAATCGCGAAGCTGAAAGCACCAGCAGTCGCGCATTAAAACTGGCCATCCACTGTTGCTGACGTTGAATTGTTTGGCTTGTTTCAAAAGGCTATGGTTCTCTAGTCATGTTTTCTTCAATTCTGTGTAATAGTTCTCCCTTACAACGTATCAACACCACGACGGTTGGTTTGACAAACTCCATAAACTCGGGAGGGATGGTTTCCAAACGCGGGTGAGTCTTGTTCGAGGAACATGAGCACTGCAAGTCGCGAGGTGGAGCGAAGTGGTCCTAGTGCTAACTGAATCACAACAACAACAAAATTGTTTTATTGACAGAAAAAAAAGGAATATTTGAGAAACTATATGTCAGAAAAAAAGAACTTTTGTTTTGCTAATTTTCTGTGAATATTTTTTTAGAAAGTCATCACACAAAAATTGAAAATTTGTTTTATATGAATTTTCATAAGCAGGAAACAAAGAAAAAACAAGAAAGAGAGCAAAATTAATACAGATTTCAAATGCTACACTTGGTTAAACTGTTGAACAGGTTGCAAACCTACTGCGCATGTCCAAAAACACTCCAATCAAGAAGTATTATTGGATAGTTCTACCCGAAAAACTGCGTTCGAACCGACACCAATTCTATTGTTGCATCTTGTCTACCTGCAGTCAAAGAAATTTTTCATTTCGAAAGTGCTGATTTCAGCTTTTGGAGTAAGCTGTACAGACCCAAAAAGAAGCTCGGCTATTGGTCCGCCCCGGCTCGGCTCCCCCCACTCCCTTTTTTTTCCTTTGACGAGTCGAGTTTTGCCATGGAAACGGCGATTTTGACAGCAAATTTCTCAAAATTGGCCACCAACTTTTTAACCAGATTTCAGCATGAGAATCAGCGTTCAAAGATCTACAAGTCTGCAAAGTCTCATTAAAATCGTATAGAAAATTTCCGAAATGCATAAAGGGCCACACAAATTGAATCTCGGGCCGGCTGAATCCTGGGTATACTATAAGGCCACTTCGTGCCTAAAAATTAAAGCAAAAGATGAAAAGTCAATACGAGACTGAGATTGCTAACTATTCCTGTTGTCTTTACCTCTGCGGTCACGTTGTCAGCAGTATTCAAGGATCTAATGATCGAAAAGATGTAAATCGGGACCTGTCCCGCGGTGAGCGCAAAAAAGGCATAGATGAGGAAAGGCCTGTTGGAGGTATTGACGTATGTGGCCATTCTTTCTGCAATGGTCATGGAGACTGCGAGAAGACCAACCACTAGTGCGCACATGTTGAACAGAACCGAAGACACTTGTGGGCCGAAGCACTCGCACACATCTTCCAGACATTCTGTCGTTTTGAGGTGGGCCTTGCGAATCTGTCGGACAAACATGTCATTCATCTTCGTGTAACACGGTAAAAACGGTTCCTGGTTTCCCCAGGAACCCCCTGGAAATCACAAGCGTCTTTAACATAGGCTTCCTGGGAAAACCAGATACGGTTGTTTAGCGTGAATGTGCGTCCTGAAACAAGGCGCTCTTGCCCCGCTTCACCTGTCCTTGCAGCGTACACAATTATTGGGTAAGACCATCCGAGCAAAAGGACGACGAACACTTCACTCTCATTCCGCGAACACTCTCAGACCTATATGGACTTTTTTCTCTCTCGCTTGACTGCAAATCCAAAGGCAATACTTTTGGTACCTTTTTTGGCGATACAATTGAGTATCGCCAATAAACCGCCTTACGGGAAAGTATTGCCTTCAAAACGGCGATACACAAAAGTATTGCCTTCAAAACGGCGATACACAAAAGTATTGCCTTCAAAACGGCGATACACAAAAGTATTGCCTTCAAAACGGCGATACACAAAAGGATTGCCTTCAAAACGGCGATACACAAAATTATTGCCTTCAAAACGGCGATACACAAAAGTATTGCCTTCAAAACGGCGATACACAAAAGTATTGCCTTCAAAACGGCGATAAACAAAAGTAGTGCCTTCAAAACGGCGATACACAAAAGTATCGCCGAAATTTGGCGATACTTTGGAGTATTGCCACGATTTGGCATTAAACGTTGAACAAATCAAGGGGACAAGCAAGTCCTTAGTTTAATGCCGCGGTTTTGGCGATACCCAAAAGTATCGCCAAATTTCGGCAATACTTTTTGTGTATCGCCGTTTTGAAGGCAATACTTACTTTTCCGTTATGCCGTTTGTTGGCGATACTCAATTGAGTAACTCCACCCCAAGGTGGACCGAGATCTGGGATTGGGTCACGGATTCGGTTCAAACTTTGTGGGTTCAATAGGTACCACTAGGACCTATCAACCCTAAAAGGAAAGTTGGCTAGCTCAATTAGATCTTGAGATATTTGCATTTTTCTAAATTTGACTAATTTAGCGGAAAAATGTCGCTTTCTGATTTTTTATTGGTAAAAGTTGTTCGCTTAGTTCTGGCTTATGTTTCTTCTTTCTAGTCATAAAAAAAGAAGAAAAATGGTGGCAGGCCAAGATTTGTACGTTGCTTGGTTTGTCCTATTCGAGCAATTTTGTCGAATTCATCGAAACTCTCATACCCAAAATACTCCACCTTGGATTTGACCCTGGTACGTCTCATTTCACTTCTTTTACTCTAATAAACAATTGCTATATAGTCCCTAGCACCAACAATTCCATATAAGCCAGAAAAATCAAACACACATTTTTCAATTTTCTTCTTTTACCTATTTTTGGCGCTTTTGTCAAGATTGGGGCTTCTACATGAGCTTGGGTGATAAAAAAGATCGTTCCTGCCCTCAATTAAGACAGTATCGACACAAACAAAGAGACCCAAACACAAGGTGCACTAAAAATTTATAATGAAATTGTTTCGAGCAAATTTTAAAAGTTTACGAGGGGTGTTAGGAGTTTAAATCGGAGGAAAATGTAATGCTTCAGCCAAAAGTGGATTTGTAGTGCATTTGTTAGCTTTCTTCAGTAGGTGTGGCGCCCTTTTAACCATGTGAGTGTTCCTACTTGATAATCAGTGTTAAAACCCTGATTTGGAATGGGGTTGTTGGACTTGCAATTTCAACGCATAAGCAAAGTAATGATCCATTTATTTAGGTTTGCAACATATAACTTCAACCGCTTAGTCTCAATAACTGAGCCTGGTTCCATTTGGTTTGTAAATTTGAGACCAACCGGATGACTTAAGACTAAGGGGGCTCAGCTTACACGTTGCAAACAACCTAAATAAATAGATCATTACTTTGTTAATACGTTGAAATCGTAAGTCCAACAACCCCATACCATATCAGGGTTTTAACGCTGGTTATCAAGGAGGAACATTCTCATGGTTAAAAGGGAACCATACCTACTCGAGAAAGCTAACAAATGCACCACGAATCCACTTTTGGCTGAAGCATTACATTTTCCTCCGATTTAAATTCCTCACACCCCTCGTAAACTTTAAAAATTTGCTCGAAACAATTTCATTATAAATTTTTAGTGCACCTTGTGTTTGGGTCTCTTTGTTTGTGTCGATACTATCTTAATTGAGGGCAGGCAGGATCTTTCTTATCACCCTAGCTCATGTAGAAGCCCCAATCTTGACAAAAGCGCCAAAAATAGGTAAAAGAAGAAAATTGAAAAATGTGTGTTTGATTTTTCTGGCTTATATGGAATTGTTGGTGCTAGGGACTATATAGCAATTGTTTATTAGAGTAAAAGAAGTGAAATGAGACGTACCAGGGTCAAATCCAAGGTGGAGTATTTTGGGTATGAGAGTTTCGATGAATTCGACAAAATTGCTCGAATAGGACAAACCAAGCAACGTACAAATCTTGGCCTACCACCATTTTTCTTCTATTTTTATGACTAGAAAGAAGAAACATAAGCCAGAACTAAGCGAACAACTTTTACCAATAAAAAATCAGAAAGCGACATTTTTCCGCTAAATTAGTCAAATTTAGAAAAATGCAAATATCTCAGGTTCTATTTGAGCTAGCCAACTTTCCTTTTAGGGTTGATAGGTCCTAGTGGTACCTATTGAACCCACAAAGTTTGAACCGAATCCGTGACCCAATCCCAGATCTCGGTCCACCTTGGGGTGGAGTTACTCAATTGTATCGCCAAAAAATGTACTTAAGTATCGCCTTTGCATTTCCAGTGTTATTGCGTTTTTTGAGCAAACACAAATTGTACTATTTTCAATGGTCCTAGCACCAAAGGCATAAAGATCACGCCCTTGAACGGCGCGAATCGTTTTATTTTACCTTTTGAAATTGAAATTATGCATTCAAGTATACTTCCTTAACTAGGACGTCCTAAACCAATTTATGACCTTCCCTAGGGCATTAAACGATTCACGCCGGGTCCTAGATCGTTTACGCTAGTCAGGACATGGTTTTTATGCCTTTGTTTCATTAGTGAAGACCAGTCAAACAGTGGGGGATACAAACCTGCAAGACCACTTCCGAAATATCCTTCTGCGATTCCTTTCTCTGTTTCAAAAATGTGATTTCTCCATTCAGGCGTTTGAAGTCGCTGGCCAACGTGTCCAGAAGGAACAGAAACAGCGACAGTTCTGCCGATTCCAGAACCTTCTGCCAAAGTTGATGAAAAAGGATGAATATAGAAAACGCCTCCAATTTTGTTGAGTGTGTCTTAGAGCTTTTCGCCCTTGCAGCACACGATTCGCAAATGGGCTTAAAATGGCAAAGACAGTCTTTGATTTTCTCAGGCCCAAGGTGCTCTCTCAGACAGACTATTGACCTTTAGTACATGGTATTGTCATTTTGGCGAAGTGCCTCTAGTTTTTTGTGCAACAGTAGTATGTACTTTTGACTTATGTTCGTCTTATCTGCCTTTATGTTAGTACTTATTCAGAAAAAATAATTACTACATAATTTTATGCTGTTCGTATGTAAGAAGAAAACCCTAAGTATTATTGTTGTCGGCTATAGTACCTGGTTACTTACGTGAAAGTCAATGAGAGGCTGAGAGTGTGGCCCATAGTTAATAGCGATTTCCCATGAGTTCTTGAGAAAACCACCGTGAAAAGCAGTTCATTCTGGATCACGCTCATTTTTTTACGAACGTTTCTATACGTATTACGATGATTTGTCATCGTAAGGTATGCATAAATTTGCACATACGTAATATGCACAAATGTCTACATAAGTATGCATGATTTCATCGTACTAGTGTTCTGCATGAGTACGTCAGATTTCTTCGTATTACGAATGATTCAGCGTAAAGTACGATGAGTACGATACGTAAGTCTTCATTTCTTCGGACACTAGCACGGTACTGACTTTCTGATTATTTTGTCAGTACTTATGCAAGTCATTTGTGCAACCACAATACGTACTTTCCGTTTTTTAAAGAACCACTTAGGAAATTCTAAATAATGTAGCCTACTAACAATTTGGTTTTGTGCATAAATTTACACAGGAAATTATTCATTATTACTTAGAAAATACTAAGTATTATTCTTGCTTATACGAATACGTTATTAATGGGGAAAATGTCAGTAACGTGCTGAGAATGTATGTTACGCCGTGTCATAAGATTCTGAGGGTGAGGAAGCCCTTCAGATGAAACATACGAGCCGCAAACGCCCACCGAAGATATTTTGCTACACTGAAAACTCAAGTGTGGACTGAATACACACATAAAGCACTTGAGGGTGTACACACTCTCAGCACGTTACTGACTTTTTTCTCACGTATTCGTATAAGCAACAAATACTTAGAATTTTTTAAGTATGACAAATTTCCATTTTAAATTATGTACAAAATCAAATTGTTAGAACATTATTTAATATTTCCGAAGTAGTTCTTTCAAAAAGAAATAGTACGTACTATGCGGTTGCACAAATTGCCTGCACGAATAAAAAATGATCAAAAAGTCGTCGTGCTGAGAGTGCAGGAGTACTGAGAACGTACTTGGGTTTTCAGTGTACTTACTTCAACAGCCAGCAGGACCGAGAACACACCGTACCAAGCATCCAGCAGCATCGCGGCGCAGATAATCGGTACCAAAACAATGAAGGCAATAGTTCTCGCCAGGTCCGGGTAGAGTACGAGCAGAGCCCCCTTTGACGGCGTCCTCTTCGCCTCGCCGAGAACCACCGGATGCAGAAGGACTTGCTGCAAGTGCGGGTACTGACGCCGAATGATGAAATACCGACTGAGGATCACGCCCCCGGCCATGAAGCCGTAACCGAGGGTTACAAGTACTTCAGCCATTGAGAGATACTCTCTCGCAGGACTTTGAATCATTACAACTCCGTCGAGCAACAAAAACAAGACAGCGCCGAGGCTTGAAGTGATCGTCACCCCAATGCTGTACCTGAAAGGGGGTCAAAAATATCAGGTTTACCACAGTGGTGAGAAATTCATTTCGAAAACTCTAGATAAGCAAACCCCAAGCAAAACCGAAGTGTGTACTCACGTCAGTATGCGTCTACAGATGCATAGTCAGCTGAGTACACGTGTACGGTTGCATACTCAGCTGAGTACACATCTGCAGATGCATACCTAACTCATCCGAGTATGCATCTGCAGATGTGATCCAGGAAGCGGAAGAAGGGGATAACTCAATTTTGACCATTTTTCAGGAGAAACAAAAAACTGTTAGCAGGGAAAACTAAAACAAAACAAATGAATGTTGCAGAAGTCAATAATTTAAAAAGCATTAGTAAAATTTTGGAAAAAAAATCAAAAGTGTAAGGTCACTCCGTAGAGGATTTCTGCGACTTATCACTTTCCGTTGAAATGGAAAGCAGAGTCAGCTCACCTTATAAAAGAGGAATTTAGAGACAAGTCAAGTGGAACAATAGTCTGCATAAAGTGTATGTTACTCTGGTGTATTTTTTGGACTTAGCTCTTTTTTCCAAATTGAAATTTAAAATTAAGGGGGGGTTAAGTTGAGTTGATTCTTTTTACACTAGATCCATAAAAACACAAGTTGAGTTATATCCTTTTGCCAATTTGTCAAATGGACTCATGTAGACTAAGGTTGAGTTATCTCCATTTTCCAATGAAATTTAGACCGTAAAAGGGGTTAAGTAGAGTTATACCCTTTTTCCATGTGGATTTTCTCCTAAACTGCTTGAAATTCAGTCAAATAATTTGGTGTAATGATGTAAACCATTCTAAGGCACAATAATAAAATAAAAACTCAATTTGGGGATAAGTCAAGTTATTCCCTTCTTCCGCTTCCTGGATCATGTGTACTCAGCTGAGATGCACACTGAGAATGAAAAAGTCATGATCAATACCAAATTTTGGGCGAGGTATACTTTATCTCCCAAATTTTGGCGTGGATTGTTTCCTCGCCCAAAATTGGATGAAGAAGGGTGTATATGGCTTAATAGCAATATGACCCAAATTTGGGTAAGGAAACTTTTCTCACCAAAATTGGGCGAGGAAACGTTCCTCACCCAAATTTGGGTGATAAAGAATTCCTCGCCCAAATTTATAGTCATGATAATGACTCTTGCATCCTCAGTGCACCTCCGTGTACTCAGCTGAGTATGCCTGTAGATGTTTTAAGGTTTAAGGATGGACGTTCAACGAACGGCTCTGTCAAGCATGAGCCTCTCACTGTTACTTAGTGAGGTTGATGGGCAACACAGGGGGCCCTTAGTCCGCAGAGTGCGGCTCCGAAGAGCCACACTCCGCTGCGCGCGTACGAATGGGGCGACTGTCAACCTTGTGGTACAGTCAGGGTTTTAACCCACCCAATCTACTGCCCGAGCAACCGTCGTCGCAGCAGTCGAGGGGTGCGTGTAGTCACACACCGCTCGTCCGGCGCCTCAGGTGTTGCAGTTCCCCGTTAGGGGCGCTGCAGAAGGGGGTCCTCCCGAGGGGATCCCCTGATTAGTTGTTACAGATAGCCAGGCAAGCCTAGCCGCTGTTTGGCCTAGTCCTGCGGGACAGTCCGTAGGCGCGGAGGGAGACACCAGATTTCATAGGTCGAAGGCCGAAGCCGCATTCCCATCCATGAGGTGCCTCCCTCTAGGAGAGGTACCGGGTTTCACGGGGCGAAGGCCGTAGCCGCATTCCCATCCACGCGGTACCGCTCCTCTTTGGTACGTTTTTGCCACCATGAGATGACAGGCCCCTATCGCCGGCAATAAGACACGTGTAGTCACATGACTAGCCGTACGACACAGGGCACGGCACCCTTGTCAGGGGTACCGCGGGTGTGACTTCCGAGCGGTCAGGCCCGGCACCCTTTTTATGGGTTGGGAGACACCAAACTTCACGGGTCGAAGGCCGTAGCCGCATTCCCATCCATGAGGCGTCCCCCTAGGAGGGGTACCGGGTTTCACGGGGCGAAGGCCGTAGCCGCATTCCCATCCACGCGGTGCCCCTCGCAGAGGTTCGTTTTAAGCTGCAAAAAGTCCAGGCACCCTTTTTTTTTGCAGGTCGGGGAAACACCAAACTTCACGGGTCGAAGGCCGTAGCCGCATTCCCATCCATGAGGTGTCGCCCTTGAGTCGGAAAGTTTAGCTGCAAGAGAGTATTAAGCACACAGCACAAATAATTTGATATACCACAAGACCAGCTGCCGACCCCTACCGCCAACAGGCCTAGGCTATAAGAGTTAGCGTGGGCAATCCACCACGACGCTGCCGAATCTAGCGCGCAGAAAGTAAAAGTGCAGGGCTCGCTGATCTGCAAGGAAAAGACATGCGACATGCAAATGGACCAGCGTCCCCACTGGGGCCTAGGCCACCCCCGTGACCACTGGCTGGGAGGGGAGGAGGGCGGAGGGGGCGAGAAGGCAACAGACAAGGAAGGAGCTCCAGCGCGAATGAGAGAGAAAGAAGGGACGAAGAAGGAGCGAGCGGAGCCCCACCCCACACACGCCTGGCACACCACACACGGGCGAGGGGAGGGGGAGGGGGGTGCGAGGACCAGGCCTGCTCGCCGGACTAGGCCTAGAGCTGTAAATGAGCGTGAAAAACACAAAACAACGTGCGACGCCCTCGCCCTAAGGCGGGGCGGGAGGAGGGGAGGGGGGCCGCCCGAGCTGCGCACGGCCAGAAGAAAAAGGAGAAAAACAAAACCAGAGCAGGCACTTATCCATAGGCGGCGTAGGTGTCCTTCCTCGGCTGCTGCTGACTCCAGGCTGGGGTGCGGGCGCGGGGTGGTCCTGGTGTAGCTACGCCACATGCCGAGTTGTGGAGGGGAGCGACAGGGGGCTGGCGTGCCCACGCCGGGCGCTGGCTTGCTGCGACGCTCAGGAGAAACCAAAGCGCAGTGGGCGCTTTCCTGAACGATTCTTTGAACACGGGTGAACGGCACAGTTGATGAGCGGCGACACTCGGCCACTGAACCGTCGAACACTTGGTAGGACCGATTGCGCAATGAACAAAACCACTGATCTTCACAACGTGGGGCACTGACACACTACACTGACGCCGGCTGGACACTGGTCACTGTTGCTTGAGGTACCGCTGCCCCTCCGCAGGCCTGCCGGGGCGCGTGAGCGCTGGGGTACGCCGGGCCGGGCCGGCTGGAGGCTGGGGCTGGGACGCTGCGACGCACACACGCTGCCACATGTGCGGGCGGAGGGACGCTGGAGGCCGGGTAGACAAAGGGCCGAACACTAATTTGCACAAAACTCGAACACTGATGCACCGATCGTCGCGGAACTTCGACCCTCGACGCACTGGGTGAACACGGACCGACCGATACCACACTCGACACGGAAAACCGACTTTGTACCACCAAAAACCAAGGACGAACACGGAGACGACGCTAAGCGTGTCCGCCCGCCACCTGGGCCTCCCCCCTCCCATCTATGCCTGTAGATGTGTACTCAGCTAAGTATGCATCTGCAGGTGTGTACTCACTGAGAATGAATTGGTCACCACCATCACCCTTTAAATGGGTGATGCAACTTCGTTGCCCAAATTTTGGTGACGAAAAATTCATCACCCGCAATTTGGTAACAGGCGTTTGGTCGCCCAAATTTGGGTAACGCCGTCGGCGACGCCGTGAGGTTCCCGATGGCGTCCTTCCGGGGCCACCACGATGACCGGAGGCCTCAACGCCACATTAAGTCATCGTAGTGGCCCCGGAAGAGCGTCATCGGGGACCTCACGGCGTCGCCAACGACGTTACCCAAATTTGGACGACGATATTATGACTGCCCAAAATTTGGTCACCGCGGGCTCGTCACCCAAATTTGGGCAACGGTGCGTGCGTTACCCAATGAAAGGGCGATGGTGGTGACTCTTTCATTCTCAGTGCTTGCAAGTATGCATCTGTAGACGCATACTGAGAACACACTTCAGTTTGTAGAGCACCTCGTCAATTACACAGTTAGACTTCATTAAAAATTTCAACACATGTTGACGCGAAGGCTCCCTCTCAAGGAGATTCCATTCACTCACCAGCGGAGCCAACCAGGTTGTGTGAGTTTGCTTCCAGTCTGCACGTAGGGAGCCAGGCCCAGCAGTCGGGCTGTTCTGAGACAGGCCGTGTCCATTGGCCAACCATGGGCGAACTGCATGACTCCTGTCCAACTTGAACCGCTGGGGGCTGCATGGACCCTCATCATGGCCAGTCCTCAAGAAACAGCTAGGAACATTACAAGCAACAGAAAATGCGGGTGTCCTTGCAACAAGTCTTGTCCATCCGCGGTGCCTTTATCGTTTGGGATTGGCGTTGCAGCCATCAATGGATTAACGAGAACGGTCAAAAGAGAGTCATACACACGAAAAAACTTTTTATGTGGTAAACCACTTTGATCGATGTACTGAATTCGATACATTCCATCAAAAATTCGAAGACGATTGCTACGACCGGGCACGTGTAGGACGACAACAAACCCCTGGTCCACTCCACAACTAAGGCAACAACTCCAGAAGATTCGTTATTCAACTTTCTTCTAAATTCATGATATTCATTGGAAATTAAAAGAGAATCTTAAAATTCAGTAAAGTTTGTACCGAAATTAACAGATATTTGGCTGCAATTTATCAAAATTTATCCAAAGTTCATGTGGAATTATAAACTTATTTTACCTTGATTGAGCCTATGAAACAAAGTAGATGACCACAGCAAAGTCTGTGTTTTTTGTACGGGCAGGTCCCAAGACGTTGCCTCGACCGACCAAACATGGGTCTCGTTTCCTATCAGCAGCAGCGGTGGCTCAGCTGCGACGTCCTACCTCTGCCAGCAGCCACCACAGCTGAAACGAGTCGGCAGGTCGATAGGTCGCCGGGCGGGGTGTTGCGTTGCGTGTGGCCCCCACTGTCCCCGTGAGATTGCGAGTACCAATTACTTCCGTGTAACCGTCCCTCTAGGGACGCGTCCACAGACCTACAACAATGATGGCACCGAGTGCACCGAGTGGCACTCTTGATGTCCATAGCCAATCAATCTTTCTCTAGTCAGTGACACTTGTCTAGCTATCGGACATAACAGCGTATCTACTATGGGATTCCTTAGGAACCAAAGTTCTGTCAGATGACCACTCACTTGGCGGTGGGTACATCGAGAAACGGCGAAAGCAAAGCTACTCTGCAAACTCAACGGTGTGCTCGGCACACTCTGTTCAGCGTCTACTCACAAGTACACTCTTACAAGAGTGTCTTACAAGAGTGTACTCAGATGAGTACACTCTGACGAGACTGTGCTTGGATGAGTAGACTCCAACGAGAGTGTGCCTGGATGAGCACGCGCTAACGAGAGTGTGCTCAGATCCATTAAATACATGCAGTTGAGTACACGCTCGTGGGAGTGTGCTTGTGAGCACACGCTTAAGGTGGGAAATACCCATTGAAGCCCCCTTTTTTAAAGTGCCTAGTTTTCATTGAAAACTCTTTCTTACCTCAAGGTGGGAAATACCCATTGAAGCCCCTTTTTTTAAAGTGCCTAGTTTTCATTGAAAACTCTTTCCTACCTTAAGGAGTTTAATTTTGTCTTGTAATGTGTTCCTTATAGATTCCAAATTCAGCCAGACATTTAACCCAAGTACCCTATGAGTTTAGAAAACTTCGGCCAAAAGACAACGCTGCCAACCTTCGGTGCGCACGTTTTCTCGAAAAGTTATTGATCTCCAGGTCCAGGTATTATATACAGGATACTTGACACATATATGTAGTTCACATGGTCGCCCTTTTTTGAAAGTGAGTTCCAGTTTTTTGTAAACACGGCAGAAAAGTGCAAAAAATGAAGTATTGACTCTATATTTTCACTTTTCAGCCTTATTTACAAAAAACTGGAACTCACTTTCAAAAAAGGGCGACGAGGTGAACTAGATATATGTGTCAAGTATTCTGTACAGAATATTACCTGATCAATTACTTTTCGAGAAAAGGTGCGCACCGAAGGTTGGCAGCGTTGTTTTTTGGCCGAAGTTTTCTACACTCATAGGGTACACTGCAAGAAAAAGTGTGGATAGTACAACAAAAGTACAACAAAAACTGTACAATAAAAGTACAACAGGGATTGTAGAAAGTACAACGATAATTGTACAAACCACAATGAGCCCTGGACTGCACAGCACTCGTCATGCCGGTTCCATTGTACTTTGTACAACAATTGTTGTACTCGAAAAGTACACTAAATTCCTGCTAAAAAATTTGCCAGAGATTTGTGTACTTTTGTTGTGGTTATTTCCTGCAGTGTACTTGGGTTAAATGTCTGGCTGAATTTGGAATCTATAAGGAACACATTACAAGACAAAATTAAACTCCTTAAGAAAGTGTACCCGTACGTACACGCTGAAGAGAGTGTACTCGTGAGTACACGCTAAAGAGAGTGTACTGAGTACACTGTTGAGTTTGCTGAGTAGCAAGTAGGAAGTAAAAAAAGAGGAGTAAGGGGGCTGGGAAGTGCAAATCATCACGCTGCTCTGTTGGTTTCAAGCATGGCCTTACGCTTGAAATCAAGCAAAACAGGTTCACCTGCCCAGATTAGATTCCCCTATCCAAGTGCATTGGGGGGAATTCCTTGTCTAGGCTGAATTTCAAGCAAAACGCCCTCAAGCGCAACTCTTTGCTCACTCAAGCATACAGTTACGCTTTTATTTTACCACTGAAATATTGGTATAATTTAAGCCGAAAAGGGGGCGCATGGTCAAAACAGAAAATGTAAGGTACAAGCTAATTAGTTCGTTATTTAAAGATTTAATTTGTAAATTTAAGATTGTTTTCTTTGTAAACTTTATACAAGCTCAAAATACTTCCCCATCACAAACTACTTTTGTGTGTAAGGCCTGGAATAGTTCGTAAGGTTTCAGGGGTAGGGGAAACGCCAAAACACCGTGCACGTACCTTTTGGGGTCACAGCCCTTCCTGAAGCCAAATCCCTCGCGAACTCCGCGGCAGGGCATTCGTCGCGTGTCGTTCAGTCGGACAAGGGATGTAGTGCCACCTGCAACCATTCTGTTGCCGCTCGTCACGACAAGGGTATTGATTGCGTGGCTCTCTGCCCATCCATTCGCACAGTTGGTTTCCAAGGCCTAACGACATCGTTTAACAAGCAAGAGATTAGAGAAAGACAGAATAGACGCTTTCAGTCTTCACCGAGTGAAGAACAAAAGTAATCCAACAGCAGGAAGCGGTCGCCGCTCTGAACCTCGTCCAGACCTACGCTGATGACCAATCAGGGTTCAGCTTGGGACTTGTCACAGTACCGTCCGCTTAGGTAAAAATTCAAGTGTGGGTCATTTTTTTAAGGGGGCAATACACTGAAAATGGCCCAAAACTGACTTGTGCGATTGCTTCCATACGCGTTGTTGTGCGTTGTTCAATCTTTTCATGTGTCAAGACCTTACAAAATGAAGCATTTAAAGCCCAGAATGGCGTCGATCGGACGTCAGGGAGCGGAGCAGCGCCCAATCAAATTTTCGTCAAAAATCGAACTGGCGGGCGTCCCTCAGTCCGCAAAAATGAAGATATCTCGACCCCGTTTGCGCCAAAATGTAGGTAATTAAAGCGGCTATAGCGCAAACTAGGATTATGAACATCGAACAATCGAAAGTACAAAATTTTACGAAAAAACCTGTTTTGATCATTTTTGCAAAATCCTCAAAAAGTGTTTTTGGATGAAATTTTGTACTTTCGGTTGCTCGATGTTCATAATCCTAGTTTGCGCTATAGCCGCTTCAATTACCTACATTTTGGCGCAAACGGGGTCGAGATATCTTCATTTTTGCGGACTGAGGGACGCCCGCCAGTTCGACTTTTGACGAAAATTTGATTGGGCGCTGCTCCGCTCCCTGACGTCCGATCGATGCTATTCTGGGCTTAAAATGCTTCTTTTTGTAAGGCCTTGACACATGAAAAGTTTGAACAACGCTCAACAACGCGTATGGAAGCAATCGCACAAGTCAGTTTTTGGCCATTTTCAGTGTATTGCCCCCTTAATGCATAGTAAACAAGCTAGGGCCCGCCCTTCCGTCGAACCGAGTTGCCAGCTCCGCTTCGCTGCGCCAGCAACTCGGTTCGACAGGGGGCCGGCCCAGCTTGGCCTGCCGGCGGCCTTTTCTCGGGCCTTCGGCCCTCGCATCAGACCCAACTTGGCCAGTCGAAGGCCCGGGCCTTCGGCCCGCTCGCATCACACACACCGTGAGCGGGTAAAGCAAAGTTATCGATGTACCATCGTGACTTAGGCCCGCCCTTCTATTCACAATATGCAATAGTCCTTACACTTTTTACTCCAACTGTACTTAGAATACTCTACAAATCAAAGAGTGTACATAGTATGCTCTAACTGGAGCATGCCTGCAAGCACGCTCTAGCTAGCGCATGCCTGCCAAGCATGCACTAACTAGTGCATACATGCCATGTACACGCTTCCTGGTGCAGAAAACTCCCTATCCCTTATGCAGTAAATGTATGCTTCAGTTAGCGTGTACATCGCATGTATGCACTAGTTAGTGCATGCTTGGCAGGCATGCGCTAGCTAGAGCGTGCTTGCAGGCATGCTCCAGTTAGAGCGTACCATGTACACTCTTTGATTTGTAGAGTATGCCCATTTCATTTGTCTCTTCGCCCTCATTCCGAAAATACCCATATTTGCCATGCTACTGCAACTCCTTGCAATAGAGGCACAGCAGGAGCGCAAAACGAGTCCGTCGCACTTTTTCCCATAACTCATGAAGGCGGGCTCCTGGACCCCCTTTCCGACCCCTCGTTGAAGAGGTCTTGCCAAGACCTATCGAAAACTTAAGTAAAAATTTTCAGTCGGTCGGACCCCTTTTTTGAAGATCCTGATGTGACTAATAGACGAAGTCGGGCTCCTGGACCCCCTTTCCGACCCCTCGTTGAAAAGGTCTTGCTGAGACCAATCGAAATCTGCAATAAATTTTTTTAGTCGGTCGACCCCCTTTTTTGAAGATCCTGATGTGACTAATAGACGAAGTCGGGCTCCTGGACCCCCTTTCTGACCCCTCGTTGAAAAGGTTTTTCTGAGACCAATCGAAATCTGCAATAAATTTTTTTAGTCGGTCGACCCCCTTTTTTGAAGATCCTGATCTGGCCAACTTGTAAAAGCGGCCGATGGGGTCGGGACCAGGTCCATTCATCTTGTCTCGTCGCCCCGATTCCAAAAATACCCCTATGTGCCCTGCTAGCACTAATAATGGCGGAAATCCCCCTCCCGGTCATGTAAACCATGATGCACCTGCAGCAGCCCTTGTGCGACCCGGACGGGATTTGCACCACCGGATTATTTGTTTGGACGGTACTCCTGAAGTACCCTCCAAATCTGGTTACTCTAGCTCAACTCCTTCCTTGTACACAGACGCCAACAACAACAACAACAACAACAACAACAACAACAACAACACACAGACACAAAGGCAAATGCATAGGCCCTCCCCCTATTTTTTGAATAGAAGGGCGGGCCAAAAATTGTAATTTTGAAGTAGAAGCCAAAGTTGCGTTGAGACGTTTAAATATGGTCCCTTCACTACGTTTCGCAGCATAGCTGCCCCCTCTGCCCCCCTCCTTTACTGAGCTACAGCCGTTTTATAATCAGACTGTTTTGGTCCACATCTGATTTTTGGAACCAGTTGTGGGTCAGCAAATTTTAAAGCTACACGCGCGTCAAGCCTTACAACTTAGGTCGACTTATAGTCCTTCGCCTATCTTACACTTATATCGGCAAAGGCGTCCCCCTTTATTCCATAATAAGACTTTTTGAAAATGTTTGAAAAACATACCTTTTCCCTTGCCCTCGGATAGGCCAAATTTTCCGTTGAATTTTGAAGGTCTCTCTTTGCAGCCCGATAGGTGGCGTTGTGGTCGTTGCTCAGACATCCGCGCCGTTTCAGGTGACAAAGGAAGGTTGAGGGAAGACCCATACCGATTTTGAAACAGATTCGCTCATTCATGGATTTGTAGCGGCCCGTCAAACAAAATGGCCCATAATTGATTCGTTACCCACAACCTTAGATAGCGCGCATCTGGTTCCTGGATTTTTTATTACTTTTGTTTTTTACTCGGCGACGATTGAAAGGGTCTATTGTGTCGGCTTCACCTTGGGCTTTGGTCAAGACTTACGTTTCATTCCCGCTCGAAAAACGCATCTTATTTCAAAAGGCGAAATCAATACTTCTGCACCTCAAACCTGTGAACAGAAATTTCAAGGCATTCCAATTTTAAGAGAAACGCAAGTCTGGCGCTCAAACGTTGGAGGGAAACTTAAAATGTTTCAGCCGTGGACGGTTCGTCAGTTTAATTTGAAAGGGACTGTTACAGCTGTAACAGCTACTATCACTCGTGTAAATGTTGTCAAAATGTCAGAAACATGTCCTGATCAAAATTCGCGCACTTAGAAAGCTGAAATTCTGAAAACTTACTCTGATATTGATGGTTTGAGATCCACAGAATGTCAGGGGATGTTTTCAGCTTTCAGAGGTGCGCGAATTTTGACCAGGATTTCAGACAGTTTTGTGACATTCTGACAAGATTTACACGAGTGATACGCTTTCCTCAAAGGCATGCACGTGCTTCCTACCTCAAAGTCGGGACGCATGTGCCTGCCTCGGGCTTGGCCAGGGCAGGAGAGAGAGGGGAGAGGGGGTGGGGGGGCATGGCGTGTGCGTGCCCGCCATGTGCGTGCTACCCTCCACATGCACTCGTCCATTCGCAATGAGCGAAACGCGGAGGTGGCGCAGCGGACTGATTCCGAAAGTCGATTTCGTCGCTCTGTCTCTCTCGCACTCATGGGCAACCCACATAGGTGCGAGAGAGACAGCGCGACGAAAACGACTTTCGGAATCAGTCTGCAGGGCATCAAAGCACGCAGCACCCAAGCAATAACGGCCTCACTCACTTGCCCCGACGGACAGTGTGCTGACATCCTGGCAGGAAACGACGGTGGAGTGTCAAACACGGAGCCCTTGTTTGTTCTCAGCTTGCGTTCGGTACTGAAGAGGTAAACCGGTCGTGGTGAGAATCTAACAGTAAGGGTGCTTGAAGTACGTCAGGTCGCGTTTGGTGCATCCGCAACCAGAGAACGAATTGTGCCTACAAAATTTTGGTCTCAGACGCATTCAGACCCGAACTTATATCAGATGCAGGGTGCGGGTGCATCTGCCCTTTAAAGTTCAAGGCAGTTGCCCAGCAGCAGCGGTACGGTATTCTGGGAAACAAGAAGCACAAAATTGGGTTGGCGCTTGCCCCTGCCTTTCCTGCAGTCGTTCGGGAAGGAAACTAGTCCTCAGTTGACATCAATAAGGTAAGGCACGAGGGGTGACCCACTGTGTACAACGATTGTGTGAATGTGCAAGATTTCTGGCGTTTTTGCCACACATGTTGCATCCTTACAGGCGTTTTTGTCACCTGAATGTGGAACGTGGTCAAATTTTGTTCAATGAATGTGGGAAGCTTTTCCCCCTCGGTGAGGCATGTACTTCGGGTTCTGCTCTCCCTCTCTGGCCTGCTTGACTACACCGCACAGTGGGGCGAAATGCGAAAAAAGTGGTGAGAATTAAAGGAGCCTCCAAACCATCGCCATAATCTCTAATCAGGGTTATTCAAAGGTAGAAAACTCATTTCTGTCAAAATCTAGAAAAATAACTTCACTCTCAGACTCGTATTGACTTTTTATCTTTTGCCATAAAGGTTTTTGTGCAAACGTAATATGTACTATTTTCTCTTTGGCTATGCACTATTTTGTTCATTGTATAATGTTTATAGTCCATTAAAGCGGACTTAATGTCACTTGCAATGTACTTTCAATTTCTACATGATCTATTGACTATTATATCCCTAAAACGATCAAAATTGTGCATAGTTAAGGAGAAAATAGTACATTTTACGTTTGCTCAGAAACCGCTATAAGCAAGAGAGAAAAAAGTCCATATAGGTCTGAGCGTGTTTGGGATGTTACGCCAGTACCAACAACCAACGCCTGATGCTCCCATCAACCATGCCCTTGGACACGCGCAAGTCTTCGGCAACTAGGGATTTAAAATAACCGGTAATTTTCAATCTGGACGGTAAATTACGGTAACATTGGTAATTTACCGTCATTTACGGTAAATAACGGTAAAATTCGATCTAATGTTTATGTGCGCTTTTGCAAAGGAACTATTAATAATCTAATTTCAAAGGGAATTTAAGACAAGCGGAGTGTTTTAAAAGGCTTATGAAAGTGGTTAAGACACTTTTATTGTCAAATTTTCATATTTTTGTGCACTCTGAGTAAATTTCTGCTGTAAAAACACCAGAAAGGTTAGGTTAAGTCGAAAATTACCGTAATTTACCGATTTTCGCAGGGTAAATTACCGTAAATTACAGGTAATTTACCCATTCTTACCGGTAAGTTTATTAGGCTTTAAATCCCTATCGGCAACCTTCTTTGCCAACCATCGGCATTCAAACCGAAGTGTTCGCAAGTCGAGACTGCGTTTGTCAGTTTGCTTTAGGCCTGGGGGCTCGCCAACGCCGAAAAAGTGCTTCATCAAAGCTAGTTTGCGAGGCACCTTTCACGCCGTTTTTCTCCGAAGGGGCGGCGATGGGCGGCGATTGGTGAGATGGGCCGGAAAGGGGGGTGGCTACTCTACCACCGACACGAGACGGAATGGCTCGCAAATGTTCGCAACTCAACTTATCGCTCCCTAAAAGTTGAAAAATCGTTAATTGTGGAACACTTTTAACAGCGTGCAACATTTGACCCGAAGACAAAATAGAAAATCAGAGGCAAACGCCCAATTTGTGAGGTCACCAGCTTTCCCAAACATAGGAAATGTTACTTTTATCTTGAAGGATGCGACCGCCAGATACAGTAGAATCATATTCACCTATTGGAATGGATGCACACTCCTAAAACCTTACGAAGTATTTTGAGCATACATATAACAAACTAAAATACTTTGTTATACGAAGAAATAGTTCGTAAATTACGAAGTATTTTCTTTGTAAGCTTACGTATGCTCAAAATACTTTGTTATACAAACTACTTTTCTTTGTAAGGCCCAATATAGTTTGTAAGGTTTTCTCAGTGCTCGAAAATCTGAAAATGTGCCAAGTTGAGAGCTCCGCAGGAGCTCACCCGCGTGTCATACTGTCAATCCAATTAGTGTTCTGGGTAGCCCAGACCTTCCTCTCCAATATCCGAAAGTTTGAAGGAACCACTTCTCACCACCTTTCTCGCGTTTCGTCCCACTGTGCACCGCCTCTACTTGTCGCTGTTATATCCACAGTGGTCCGTTGCAGATGCGACATCAAAGGCAGCAGCTGCAGCACTTCGGGTGTCGTGGATTTCCCTCTGCACCGGACTGGGTTTGCCCTTACTTCCACTGCGCCGGAGCGGTGGTGCCCCGCCTCTGCTATTGGGTGTACGTGTGTGTCCGTTCCAAAACCGCGAGACCGAAGTGCGTTTTGCTTCCCGTCCGGGTGATCGTCGGGGACGTCTACTGACTCTGAAGCGCGCCGCCCGTCGAAGGTTTGTTACACACTAATTTACTATGTAGGTTTTCCTGCGCGCTAATGCACGAAATTTAACATGCACTTCGTGACGCACGAATTTTTGCGCGACAATGAACGATTTCGTGCGCAGGTATGCAGAAAATCGTGCATTTTCGCGCACGAATTCGTGCGTTGCGAAGTGCATGTATAATTTCGTGCATTAGCGCGTAGAAAAACCTACATAGTAATTTAGTGTGTATTTTCCATGACGCGATAAGTTACACTGAAAAGAGTGTACTGAGTGGGCTTAACTGTGTGCTGCACTGTTCGAAAAAACCACGGTGACCCGTTAATTTTTTTGCCGGGATTTACTATCGTTCAGAACACAGGATTTAATGTGCCTGGCTACAGTATTTACTGTTCCGCACTCTAAATGTTCTACAGTGAAGATTCTCCATATTATGGTGAAAATGTTCCATATTATGGTGGTGCAGCTGACCTCGTAACACACCATTGAGAATTCACTGTACCTTATAGATATTTTGACGAATTTTGTTGGTATTATGGAGAAAATCCCCACCATAATATGTTGGTGCAGCCTTTCACCGTAAGACATTTACAGTGCGGGTACAGGATATTCCGCACTCCACTCCTGTGGTACAGTAAAAATCCTGAACAAAGTACAGTGGATCCTGTAAAAAAAAGTACAGTAAATCCTGTACTCTGTACTACAGTGACAGCTGTACTCATCATTTAAGGATTTACTGTGTTTTTTCCCACATGAGTACACTGCGTACGCACTCGGGTTTTCAGTGTAGTTACATTTCACTGGCCATTGTGGCTCCTGCTCCAAATCGCGATGTTGAGATCTTTAATTTAACTTGCCGCTTCAAGAGATTGTCAACGTGCCCCACCCACACGCCAATATTGAATTCTTAACGAGGAATGGGCGAGCTAGAGTGCTTAAGTAATGAATGGGGCTCTGGCTCGTTGGCAGTCGGGCTATAACCAGCCGCTGGAGACAGACGTGTCCTCCTGGAGAAGCATCCCTCGTGGTCAATTCATCGAAAAGCCGAAAACTGACACATGCGCTGGAAAACGAGAAGATGTACGTTTTCTGACGGGATTGGTGCCGTTCTTGGTTTCATATATTTACACTCCCAATTAGAGACTCTCATTCCAGGAACGTGACATCACGTTGAAACGAACGTCACAAAATGTCACGTTCGTTTGAGCATTGTGTCACATTCGTTCGGCCAAAAATCGTCTTGTTCACATTCAAACGAATATGACATAATGCTCAAACGAACGTGACACTTTGTCACGTTCGTTTGAGCGCGATGCCACGTTCGTCGAATGAGAGTGTACTTCTACACGATCTTAGAAATTGGAAAACTAAGAACAGATAGCGCCCATCTGAGGTATAATCGTTTTCGAGTCTTAGCAAGAGTCAGTTAACTGACCGAATTAAAGGGTCAACGCAGAAAGTGGCAGATATCTTTAGAGAGGGAACATTGGCGGTTTTGACACACACTCTTCGCTGAGCACGCGGGTGAGGTGGGAGGTGGTAGGCTCTCCTCGCGCGAGTGGCGGAGCACGACACGCTCTGGCCGGTGGTACGGCACGGCACCGTTGGCGATATCGGTGTATGCAAATGAGGGTATTGTTGCGTGTCGTGGAGGGGCAATGCGCGGTGGTCATCTGCACTGGTCGAGTGCCTTCCGAACTGTGATGCGAAATGAGAGTGCCGAGTGGCAGGTGTGCGAATCCCGTAATTTTTATTAATTTTTTTTTTTTTGCTAAATGCGTAGCTATGCGGGTGAGCGCCTGCCGCGTAGGCTGTACCGCAACGCACGTTTGCTCGACAGGCGGGTCTACGCTGCAGGCTGACGGCCACGAAACGAATCACGGAATCTATCGGCCCATTCGCGCGATGAGGCAAAAAAGACTACTGCTGCTGCAGTGCGTGCCCGGCTCCGTCTCCGAGTGCGGGACGATCATCAGCCTGCAGCATAGACCCGCCTGTTACACACACGTGTGTTGCGGTACAGTCTCGCTTACACCGTGATGTTTTTTTTCATTCCCCACACTGAGAAAACCTTACAAACTATTTTGGGCCTTACAAAGAAAAGTAGTTTGTATAACAAAGTATTTTGAGCATACGTAAGCTTACAAAGAAAATACTTCGTAATTTACGAACTATTTCTTTGTATAACAAAGTATTTTAGTTTGTTATACGTATGCTCAAAATACTTCGTACGGTTTTAAGAGTGCAAATGAGTTTCGGCAGGAGTCGAACGCGCACCGCTCTGGTCCTCGGTTCTGTGACACGAGTCCGAGCGCGCTCGGCTACTGCCGGAACTCGATAATGATCAAACGCATAGTGATTAGCATTCGCGGGCACGCACGCCGTGCCATACCACCTGGCGCTGCGTGGCGTGCTCCACCACACGCGGGACCCAAGCGTACCGCCTCCCCCCTCCCCCGCGTGCTCAGCGAAGTGTGTGTGTCAAAACCGCCAATGTTCCCTCTCTATCTTTATTAGGCTAAATTATTTCTATTGAGGATAATTTCAAGTAAGAGCGCAAATGCCAGAAATTTATCTGAAGCACAGAAAAAGATAAGCTCCTTGAAAGGAAAATAAATTACGCTTCCTAGTTTTCCAAGTGCGGAGACTCACGTCACAATTTTATGTTTTAATCTGTCCTCCATCTCTTTTCTTCCATGATTTTTTTATACAGCAACATGGGTCAAAGACGCGAATCTGCAATGTCCAGCACTGTCCTGTCAGAGTATCTCGAAGAGTGGGGGGAGCATCTGGAGGCAAGCGGGCAGTCCCGACTGAGCAGAATACTGAAGTTCATGCGCGAATCACTGGTCAGTCTTGTAAAACGCCTTGCTGACCGGTAAAGGGCAGGGCAAAAACAATTTCCGGGTTTCCAAGGACCACCCTGGAAAAAGAGGTAATTTTTCCGGGCTCGGCCACGGAAACCCGGACATTGTTTTTGCCGTGACGTTGCAACTGCAGTCAAGTAAAAAAGTTGCTACAAGTAATAAAAAAAAAATACGATTTCAAGAAATCCTAGGAGTCACGAAGTTATTTTGATTATTGTGTAAGAGTGTGGAGACCCCGTAAACAAATCTACTATCAAAAGCAGTACTGTCGTACTACCATTTCGGAGCTTTGTACATCCCAAAATGTAGTACGGAAGGAGTACCTTATGAAACAAAAAAGGCATCCGAAAGAAGTACTGCCGTGCTACATTTCAGGACGTCTCTTTCGGGAGCACTTCGGGACGTCAGAAACGGTAGGTCTGTGAGAGGTCTTTCGGAGGTCCCCCACCACCCGTCGCAGCGCCCTGCGGCCATGTAGTTCCGAGTGTGACCGCTAGAGCGCGCACCTCTGTCGTAGTTCGATGGCCTGCCGCTAGGGTGCGCCACTGTTCCGGATATGAATGTGAATGCGTATAGGAATCAGAGCTCTCAAAAAGCAGCCTCTGAGGCCGGCCGAACAGGCCGCGGTGCGGCCTCAGCACCAGGAGAACTAGAAATGCCTTCGGCTCGGGAACGGACGCTGGGTCTGGCGTTCTGACCATGGTCGGTAGTAGTTTGAAGAAACGAAAATACTCAGAATTAAAGGATATGTAAGCAAAAATATATATTGAGGCGGACTCAGTAAGACATTTTTGAGTAAACCGAACACCTTTTATCCTGGATTAGTCGGTTTTAAACGTGGAAATGACAAAAAAGGAAGCAGCGGAGGGGGTCGACGGCAGTGTCTGGCGAAGATCCGCGGCGGGCCCCAACTGCAGGGCCACATAGGATACCACTTTTTTATCTTTGTTCAGCTCTAAAGGGTAAAAACTGGGGGCTTTTATTAAAGCTAGAGGCATATACTACCAAATGAATAGGTTATCGGAAAACATCAGGGCAGGAAATATTTGCATTCTCCTTGTAAAGTCGTCAGATACCCTTTCTGACCATGGTCGGTTAGTCGACGTCACCGCCTGCTAACGGCCTGAGGACGTCCAACTTTGTAAGGAGAATGCAAATCCTGCTCTGATGTTTTCCAATAACCTTTCCATTTGATAGTATATGCCTCTAGCTTTAATAAAAGCCCCCAGTTTTTACCCTTTAGGGCTGAACAAAGATTAAATTTGGTAAAGAGTTCGGCCCTGCAGATAGTGCCCGCCACGGGCCTCCACTCCCCACTCGCCTGTCAGCACGCAGGGGACAGGCCGCAGGGACGGCTCGGTCGCGGCCTCGTCCAGGCCGACCGCTGCGGCCTGCTGCAGGCCGCGCGTCGGCCTGACGAGGCCGGCTGCCGGCAGCCAATAGGGTTCACGGATGCGACCGAGGGAGCCGGGAGGTGGCCGAGACGTGGCGCCCTCACATCATGCGGACAAGTCCGGCACTGTCCGTTCAGGCGCAGGGTTGCTCGCCAGCGGCCTGCCGCAGGCCGCGTGCGGCCTCGGCGGCCGGCCTGCGGAGCCGTTTTTTGAGAGCTCTGATAGGAATGTGAATATGACACAGGTAAACTGTTAGGAAAAATGTATTTATTCACTGACCTTTTTAAACAAGGTAGGTTTACGCCAGACCGCGTCTTGTCGTAACAGGCTTCGCGATGTCTCGCTGCCTGTTCCTCCAATCCGCGCCTGGCGGACCTACCTTGGCCTGCGGCGCTAGCCTGCCTTCGGCAGGCCATGGCTTGCCCATCGTCGGTTACTTCTAAATTGTTGCATACTGGGGGGCTCCGCCCCCCAGACCCCTCTTCATTCCAGATAGAGTTGCTTCATCCACAGATAACACGATCTTGACCCTTGTTACTTTTCAACTTGCCGGGGCTGGGGGGCTCTGCCCCCCTGACCCCCCTTTCTTCAAGGCAGAAGATATTTGCCGGCAGAAAACTCGATTTTCGCCGTTTCTTAGGTGTTTTTCGGCTATAAAAACTGAACCAGTTGAGCTAGGATAGTGAAATTTCGCGTGTGCCGAGCCAAGGACATACCCAAAAAGTGTGCAAAATCTCAGCCAGATCGGCCGAGCCGTTCAGGAGGAGTAGTGCTGACAGACAGACAGACACACAGACAGACAGACAGACAGACAGACAGAAAAACTTTTCAACCCCACCTGAGTAACGGGCTTCGCTATCGCTCAGCCAATTAAAAATCAAACGATAGGACTTGTCACGAACAACAGAAAATATGGAGACAAAAATGGTGGACAGGACTCAAAAACAAAATATTTAAAAGACGAATCTCAGTTGGGCTGAAAAGAAAATACAGCAACCATAACTGTAACACCCCTTGATTAAAAATAAGCCAAAATGACCGAAATAAATTCAATTAGCACTCATTCCAAGGTGTCATACTTACTTTGCTCTGTCGCAGGAAATTCACTTAATTTGACACTGAAGCACAGGAGTCAGTTCTTGTTCCACATGTAATTGCATAGTGGTGCAGGTTATCGTTCCAGAATCTTGGGCAACTCCAGTGGGTCAAGGTTTCCGCAAAGAGCCTGTTTCTCAAGCATAAAATCAGAAGACGAACAAAATAAACACGTTTGACAATAAGAGTATCAAAGTAACAGAATATTGTAGGTTAACTTACACCGGCACTTTCTGATTTGGATTGAAACACGAAATAAGCCTGCACCAGGCTTTGAAGTATTCTTCTTATTGGTGCACCTGAGAACTGAACATCTTCGTGCGTGGTTTCTTTTCTTTGGAGAAATGAATTTACTATAGTTAGCAGAAATATAATAGAAGTAAGGATCGGACGCCACAAGCACAGTGCGCGCCAAAGTGCGCCGACTGTCATCTGCACAACAGGTGAGCATCGCGTGGGCCCGAGGCGCGCTCTAGCGGACACACTCGGAACTATGGCCGCAGGACGCTGCGACGGGTGGTGGGGGACCTCCCAAAGACCTCACATATACTCGTCCCAGCGTAACCTTTCTAAATCACTCCGCCAGTAGCCAGAGAACAGAAAATAGTCCCGCAGGTAATGCGGTTTTTTAAAACTAATACTCAACCCTGGACCGTTGCCATCATAATTAATCGTATAAATAAACAACATTGAAAAAATACGAACAATTTCAGACTTTATCATTAAGCATTCCGGGTTTGGCATTTCCGCGGGCAGACGACGTGCCGGCCCGAGCCGCTTCAAAACAACGGTCTCTCGGAACCTCTTTTCGCACTTACATTGAGTGACTGAAAGAGATTCCATTAAAGGAGCTTGCATAGGTCTAAGCCCCACACTATTTTGTATGCCCAGCTCGCGTTCATTTTGTGGAATTCTGGCTTATTCTTTTAAGATTTTGGTTTAAATGCACCAGGTTGGCTTCTCCTCTGAACCGTGGTCCAAACTTTCTGCATTAGGTTTGAGCAACTGGAAGAGATTCAATAATAACAACTTATTTCAGTCAAAGGTCCACACATTTTTGTCTGCCCCGTTCACCTTCTTTTTTTGAAATTTTGTCTCATTCTTTAGAAGTTTTCGTCTGTGTGAAAGAGGTCGGCTTCTCCTCTGGACCGAGCTCCAAACTTTCTGCATTAGGTTTGAGCAACTGGAAGAGATTCGATAATAACAACTTATTTCAGTCAAAGGCCCACACATTTTTGTCTGCCCCGTTCACCCTCATTTTGAGAATCAATCTTTATTTTGGGAGAAACATCGAATAATCTGTGCCAATGTGGGGATAAAACGGCCAAGGGACTACTTTCGGAAAGGTTACGCTGGGACGAGTATAGACCTACCGTTTCGGACGTCCCGAAGTGCTCCAAGAACCGACGACTTTGGGACTAGCGACTAGGGCGCGCTCTGGCGGCGAACTCTGGCACCACACACTAGGTCCCCGCGCGACGTACGAGAGAGCTTCATTTGTAGTACGTTTAGGGAGGTCCCGAAGAGCTCCCAAAACCGACTTCTTCGGGACGTCCGAAAGACGTCGGATTCCAGACATGTACTAGTTTTGTTTACGGGGGAAAGAAAAGAAGTGGTGTTGTGAAGTTGTGGCTCAGGGGACTACCAATGGCAGTGGTACCAATGTGGTCGATGTGCCACCCGTCAAAATTTAAACTTGACAATAAATAGAGCTGGTAAATTCAAAAAATTCCAATGCTAATGTATTCCGCAGTGTTCTGACAATGGAACATCTTTAAAGTCCATCATTATTAAAATGTTCTTAGCAGAAAGAAGGCAGTAAATTAATTTTCACGGGTTGGCAACTAGTTTCTCGGCGTCTGCGCCCTTGCGAAAATCGCGAAGCTGAAAGCACCAGCAGTCGCGCATTAAAACTGCCCCTCCATTGTTGCTGACGTTGAATTGTTTGGCTTGTTTCAAAAGGCTATGGTTCTCTAGTCATGTTTTCTTCAATTCTGTGTAATAGTTCTCCCTTACAACGTATCAACACCACGACGGTTGGTTTGACAATCTTCATAAACTCGGGAGGGATGGTTTCGGGTGAGTCTTGTTCGAGGAACATGAGCACTGCAAGTCGCGAGGTTGAGCGAAGTGGTCCTAGTGCTAACTGAATCACAACAACAACAAAATTGTTTTATTGACAGAAAAAAAAGGAATATTTGAGAAACTTTATGTCAGAAAAAAAGAACTTTTGTTTTGCCAATTTTCTGTGAATATTTTTTTAGAAAGTCATCACACAAAAATTGAAAATTTGTTTTATATGAATTTTCATAAGCAGGAAACAAAGAAAAAAACAAGAAAGAGAGCAAAATGAATACAGATTTCAAATGCTACAGTTGGTTAAACTGTTAAACAGGTTGCAAACCTACTGCGCATGTCCAAAAACACTCCAATCAAGAAGTATTATTGGATAGTTCTACCCGAAAAACTGCGTTCGAACCGACACCAATTCTATAGTTGCATATTGTCTACCTGCAGTCAAAGAAATTTTTCATTTCGAACGTGCTGATTTCAGATTTTAGAGTAAGCTGTACACAGGGGCGTCGGAAGTACTTTTAGGTGGGGGGGGGGTGCGCAAATTTAAAGGGTTGTGCTGTGGGTTGCCTACCTTTTAGGCGGTACTTCCCAAAGCCGGTATAATTGACGAGCGAAGCGAGCCAAAAAACAAGGACTAATCCAAAAAAAAAAGGTTTGTTTCGAAAGTAACAAAAGACATGTGTAAAATGCATAGAGGCTATGCAATTTGTGGTCAACAAGTCAATAAACAACTTTGACGATCCTTTTAAATAAACCAAGTGTAAGACTTCAGGGGAAGTGCAAGGTAAAGCTTTAAACTTATGCGTTGATGCAAAAACATTAAAGGCATTAAAACGGATTTTTTTTTGTACAGAATCTTTTTAAAAAGAACGGGAAAAAATGGAGTGAAGCGAGCTAGGCTCAGGTTTTAGTTTTGGTCCTTTTAGAGAGTACAGCGTCACGAGTTCTTGGCGAGCGAAGCGAGCCAAATGGTTTTGGTTTAGAGAATCATCAAAACCAGTAGGCAAAGCAAGTTTTAGATCGAATATTATCTCAGGAGTGTTAACTAGTGTTATTGTTACCCCTTTGACCTCTCACTCTTTGTGCATCAAAAGGGGGGGTGCGCCCAGATTATTTTAGGGGGTGCGCAGCGCACCCTCTGAACCCCACTTCCGACGCCCCTGGCTGTACAGACCCAAAAAGAAGCTCGGCTATTGGTCCGCCCCGGCTCGGCTCCCCCCACTCCTTTTTTTTTCCTTTGACGAGTCGAGTTTTGCCATGGAAACGGCGATTTTGACAGCAAATTTCTCAAAATTGGCCACCAACTTTTTAACCAGATTTCAGCATGAGAATCAGCGTTCAAAGTTCTACAAGTCTGCAAAGTCTCATTAAAATCGTATAGAAAATTTCCGAAATGCATAAAGGGCCACACAAATTGAATCTCGGGCCGGCTGAATCCTGGGTATACTATAAGGCTACTTCGTGCCTAAAAAGCCGTTATGAAGGCTTGTTTTTAAATTAGATATAACCATTGCCATTCCGTACGCAGGTCATTCTTCGCGAAAGTACACAACAATGATCGGTGCTTGCAATGCATATTTGAATTTTTTTCAGATCGAGGAGACAGGCTTCAAACCAGTTCAGGTTTTGGGACATAATGGAGAAATGCTTAACTGAGTGGGAAGTTTTTGAGAGTATGAAAGGTACAAACTTTCCCAATACTTCGATAACTACGAAGTATTTTATTCGTTAGCTGACGGATGCTCAAAATACCTTTGCTAAGACAAGCCCCTTTCCCCAGCGAGGCCCAAAATAAAGTTTTCAAGGTTTCGAAAGTGTACCGCTCCTGTCGTCTTTCTAGAGTGTGAACTCAGTGCTCCCTTTCAGACGGCTGGCGCCATCATAGTGGTCATGACGGTCCTCGCCCTGGTGGACACCGTGTTCGAGTCCGAAGGCCGCCCCCTGAGCGAGCGCGTGTCCATGCGCACCTTCTGCGGTGGCTTCTCCAGCTTCGTGTCCTACGACATCCTGGCCTACCGCAAGCCACTAATGTGGAAGGCGCTACGACACGCCCAATTCGCTGCCACCGAACTGCAGTCGGAGGCCACCCCAGCGGGCAGGGTATCGCCTTCAAAATGAATGTACTGATGGCATGCGTCAGCCCAATGCTCACTCGGTAAAGAGTGCTGGTTTGCACACGACTCGTGCAAACCTTACATACGAACCGACATGCACTCACGTCACTCACGTGCTCAGCATTTGAACAGAATTGAGCATGCGCGTGACATGCAAGAACCTCTGCGAAACAACGCACACTTTCGTGCTTAGTTATGCACAAATTAGTGCATTTGAAAGCAACTGCATAATTATGTGCAAAGTTCATGCACTAAAAACTACATTCTAGTTACATAGTGACGAGTGGGCCAACACGTTCGATGTTTGGAGACACACGATTTCTTAAGAGAAGAGATTTCGTCGGATTTTGCAAGATTTCGTCCAATTTTACTCTTAAAATCTGCTTAAGTTTTGCCGTTTGCGGCAATATTTCGGATTTACAGAGATTTCGATTGCTCCAGGGGACACGGGGTTCCTTTAGTGGTTGCCCTCTCGCATTGTGTGCGGTGATACAGTTGAGTCACCGAAACCTACTCCCACTTATCACATCCCTTTTGAAAATACACGTTTGTTTGATTCATACTTGAAACAGTACCAGACCCGTCGTTTCTCCACGGTGCGCCTTTGCTCGGTCAAGTCCAGGAAAGAAACGGACATATCGAATTGCTGTAGATCCACACAGTTAGCAGCTTCGCTATTAGAATTAAACGAAGGCATTGAAATATCCATATTGATATGGCTCGTACATTAGGAAGCAAAATCCTCTGCAATACGAAGCAATAATTCTACAATGCCCATTTCATTCGTAGGAAGCAGATGCTTTACAGACATTTTTGGCAGTAAAAGCAAGGGAGCATTTGAAATGGTCAAGGCGTTTGGTTCAGGTTGCAATGGCTGCAGAGGCCCGTTGGGGACGCCTGGTCCTTTGGCGCGTGTCCTCAGTGTACGCTACGACAGTCACGGCAGGGGTTCTCCTCACCATGCTCAACGACAACTCCACCGCCGTCAACAGATGGATTTGGCACTTCGGATATGTACGTCGTATTGAATGTAGTAAAGTTATCGCCATAGAAGGAGCAGTTCCTTGAAACGAAGAAGTAACGTTCAATTTTGTTAGGTCTCTGAAAACCTTACTAACTGTTTTCGGCTTTACAAAGAAAAGCAGCTTGTTTTCGGACAAAGAAAATACTTCGTAATTTACGAATTATTTCTTCGTACAGCAAGTAGATATCCTCAAAATAGTTAGTAAGGTTTTGCGTGCAGAAAAACAGTCTCAAACGCTAAACGAATCGACTAGCTTCTTCACCTGAAACTCGCCCCTTCTCAGTGAAATGGGTTGCCTACCTGCTGGTCGGTGTGACCCGGGCAGGGTCGACATGAGCCCCGTCCCGATTGAGCCCCGATGACCTGAGCCCCGGCCAGAGCCCCGGCCGAGCCCGACTCGAGCCCCGACCCGAGCCCCGACTGAGCCCCGATGGCCAGAGCCCCAACCTGAGCCCGTTTTGAGCCCCGACCTGAGCCCCGTTTGAGCCCCATTTTAGCCCCGCGCCAAAATATTTGCAATATGACGCAAAATCTTCACTAAAAAAGTTCAAAAATTGAAGTTTTTTGGCGTGGGGCTTAAGTGGGGCTCAAACCGGGCTCAGGTCGGGGCTCTGGCCATCGGGACTCGGTCGGGGCTCGAGTCGGGGCTCAAGTCGGGCTCAAACGGGGCTTTGGTCGGGGCTCAGGTCGTCGGGGCTCAATCGGGATGGGGCTCATGTCGACCCTGCCGTGACCCGGGGAGCCCGGGTCGGCGTCCGGGGTGCTGCCTACCCTCCAGGCGCCCCTACTTCTGCTCTGGGAACTGCTAAAAGGGACTGAAATTGCTGGGGTGGGTGGCAGGACACAGCGGTGCCACAGCGTCAGACCGTTGTGCACCGTTCAGGCAGAGGGTACACTTTAAATATGGGGTGCCCAGAAACTGGGCGCCTTTGTCGCCCGCCCCACTTTTTAGGGTGCCAAATGTCGCCCAGTTCCTGGGCATTTTTGTCACCCAGTCTCGGAGTGGACAAACCATTAAGAAACCTGCCTTCACCCATGGCTCAGCAGCGACTGAGGTGCCGAAGGTGCCCAGAATCTAGGCATCTTAGTCGCCCAGGATCTAGACACCTGAGCATGCTCTACCATGGGAGAGGGCCGGTTACTGTATGATTTGTCCACCAGACTGGGCGACCAAGGTGCCCAGAAACTGGGCGACATTTGGCA